TTTTTGTTTTCCGCTGTGCAACCAGGTCGTTTCCTAACAATATATCAAGAAAAGGATGCAAAGATTAGTAAATGATGAAGTTTTACCTGATTTGGACTTTACTGATCTTGGTGTCTATGTGGATTGTATCAAAGGAAAACAACCACATGCACAATTAAGAAAGCAGCCACAAGAAGCACAGAACTCCTGAATTAATCACATCGATATATGTGGTCCTTTGATATACCTTCTATTAGTGGAGAAAGATTTTATCACTTTTATAGATGATTTTTCACGTTATGGATACTATTTATTGCATGAAAAATCTCAATCTGTTAATATCCTAGAGGTTATCATTAATGAAGTTGAGAGGCAATTAGATAGAAAGTAAAAGTAGTACGATCAGATAGAGGTGGTGAATATTGGTAAATACAAGAATCTGGACAATGTCTAGGTCCATTTGCTAAATTCCTGAAAGTCGAGGCATATGTGCCCAATACACAATGCCGGAACACCGCAACAGAATGGTGTTGCAGAAAGGCATAACCGAACGTTAATGGATATGGTTAGGAGTTGTTAAGTCATTCCTCATTACCCTCATCATTTGTGTATATGCATTAGACTGCGTAATTATTAAATAAGGTTCCTAGTAGGCAGTTTCAAAGATTCCTTTAGAACTGTGGATAGGAAAGAACCTAGTTTGAGGCCCTGCATATTTGGGGTTGCCCAGCAGAAACAAGATTTATAATCCACATGAAAAGAAACTGGACTCAAGAACGACCAATGATTTTTTCATTGGTTATCCAGAAAATCTAAAGGGTATCATTTTTATTGTCCTAGCCATAGTACGAGAATAGTTGAGACTGGAAATGCAAGGTTTATTGAGAATGGTGAAACCAGTGGGAGTGTTGAAACACGTAAGTGGATATTCAAGAAGTCAGGGTACAGGTCCCTACGCCTATGACTTCTACAGAGGTTGTGGTTCCTATAGTTGTCAGACGTTCTGATAACAATTAGGAACAACAAATAATTGAGCAAACACTACCTGATATTTAGTAATCAATGAACCTGTGGTTGGTGAGCCACATGAAGTAGTAAATGACCACAAGAAATAGCATTAAAGATCTCAAAGACACAGGAGATCTTCCATTTCTAATGATTATATGGTTTATCTATAAGAGTCTGAAATTGACTTAGGATGGAAGTAGATTCAGTTTCGTTTTCACAAGCCCTTAAAAGTAATATTCTTGTAAAATGGTTAGACGCCATGAAAGAAGAGTTAAATCAATGGAATACATGAAGTCTGGGATCTAGTAGTATTGCCTAAAGGTTGTAGAAAAGTCAGTGTAAATGGGTCTTTAAGACCAAGTGCGATTCTAATGGCAATATTGAACGGTACAAGGCCAGACTAGTTGCCAAAAGTTTTCTCAGAAAGACGGTGTGATTACAACGGACCTTTTCGCCAGTTTCCTCAAAGGAATCGTTTAGATTATTATGGAAATGGTAGCTTATTATGATCTAGAGCTTCATCAATGGATGTGTAAACTGCCTTTCTGAATGGGGATTTAGAAAAAGAAGTGTACATGGAACAACCTATGGTTTTCCAATTGAAAGGGAGGAACACATGATGTTAATTAAATAAATCTACATACAGATTAAAACAAGCTTCCAGACAGTGGTACTCAAGTTCAATGATACCATACTACTTTGGATTTAAAGAAAACACTGTTGATCGGTGTATATATCTAACGTATTGGAGCACATTTGTAATTTTAGTCCTGTATGTTGATGACGTTTTGCTTCTACTAAAATCTTGGCATGATGTGTGAAACCAAGAAGTTTCTCTCTAAGAACTTTAAGATAAAGGATTGGGCGAGGCAACCTATGTGATTGGAATTGAAATTATCCGTGATAGATCACAAGGATTGTTGGGATGTCTCAAAAAGCTTATATCAACAAAGTTCTGGAGAGATACAAAATGGATAAGTGCTCTGCGAGTCCATTTCCAATTCAGAAAGGTGACAAGTTGAGCTTTAGCAATGCCCACAGATTGAATTGGAACGTAAGCAAATGGAGCATATTCCTATGCATCAGTTGTCAGAAGTTTAATGTATGCTCAGACATGTACTAGACTAGGCATTAGTTTTGCGGTCGGTTTACTGGGTAGATATCAAAGTAATCCTAGAATGGATCATTGGCAAGCTGCAAAGAAAGTGTTAAGATATTTACAAGGGACGAGATCATATGCTTACCTATAAAGATCTGATTATCTTGAGGTAGTTGGATATTCAGATTCAGATTTCGCTGGTTGTTTAGACACTAGGAAATCCACTTTTGGCTACGTATTTATGTTAGCTGAGCAGTTTCATGGAAAAGTGCGAAGCAGTCTGTCATTGCTGCTTCCACTATGGAGGCGAGATTTGTGGCTGCTTTGAGGCCATAGTTCAGGGTTATGGCTGCGGAATTTTATTTCAGACTTGGGATTGTCGATAGTATTGCCAAGCCACTGAAAATTTATTTTGATAATGTCGCAGTAGTTCTTCTTTTCTAAAAACGACAAATATTCAAAAGGTGCTAAAATATGGAATTAAATACTTTTCCGTTAAAGAAGAAGTTCAGAAACAAGAGTGACTATTGAGCATATTAGCACTAATTTTATGATAGCGGATCCGCTGACTAAAGGGCATCACCTAAAACCTTTAGTGCACGTTGAAAGGATGGGTATTATTGCCCGTCAGATTTATTAAATGTATTGTATATGTTCCTTGACATTATGTTGTTAACATTATGTTGTTTTTATGTACATAAAGCTCTTTATGTTTAGTCACTCTAATCTTGATGTATTTTTTGATTGATATAAGTTATTCGGTTGTATGTTTTCTTTAATTATGTTGTTTTGTATACATGAATGATAGATGACAGAATTTGTCCTTGGTAAGGGCATTATTGTTGGACCATTAAGATTATCATAGATTGTTCTGAGTATAGAATTTGTAAGTGTACATGGAGGGAATATGTTGATTTAATAACATTGACCGCCATGATCCTTATAGTTCCTACTCTATAATGTTTATCTTGACCATTTAAGATATGACCTTTATTAATTATTATTGTGTACACATTATGTTTTAATTACTAAGCTGTAAAGTTTATTTTTATGACACTGGACCAAGTGGGAGATGTTAGAATTATTTATAATTCTTATAAATGGTCCATGTGAATTAAATATAATAAAGGTTTAGTAATAATAATTTAATTGAAGGCGATTGTCTTTAGCCTTTGATGGAAAGTGTAGTGTTTGCAGTTAATTAAATAACGCAATAAAGGTGGGTCCTCTCTCTATTCTCAAATACCAAAAAATTTTCTCTGCCCATCAAGAGAGTTTGCGATTACAAAAGAGAAGAAGAGAGAGAAACGCTGCCTATTTTTTTATTCAATCAAAATTTAAGTTTTAATTTTCATACTATGGAATCAGTATGTATTTTTTTTTATATTATGAGAAAGTTCATCAAGTTCCAAGATCTTATAACTTTATTTGTGCAACTTAGGGCATAGAAACAAATATTGATTATTGATTTTTTGCCTTTGATGAGTTTGCTTTTAAGTTTACAAAAAGTAAATATCATAATTTAGATATATTACTTAAAACTATTTTTCTTAAATCATGAGACTAATTTTATAGAAGAAAAAAATATAAAATTCTTAATAAAGAACATATGTAACTGTAAAGGGCGGAGTTGCATGGTGTGGGAATTGGTATCAAACTATAACATAGATCTAATTGTTTGTGAGAGAGGGAGACTTATAATTATGAATGCATAAGTAAATAAAACTCCACTCAACCTTAAATTAAGTGGTCTACAATGGTCGGACCCCATCGGATAACGACAGTGGGACTTTTCCACATTGTAAGTACTTGACGCCCAACATTGAACATTGTATACTTTTCCAATGCCATTAATTACTCACAACTACACTTCGCTTATTATTGCATTTTCTCTTTCTTCAATATTTCTTCATCTTTCCAGATAGTTGGACTTTAGTGACTCCTATGCTTATGAGAAGCGGCTGACTTCCCTTAACAGTTAAAAAGTGCTTGCTCCACATGAATGGTTGCCCACTATTGGCTGTTGGGCCGTCATCCCTCTGGTGAGATTTATTTTTGGCCTTAACCATAATGTATGAGCCTGATTTGGCCCATTTACTGGCCCATATGTGATCTTTTTATTTTTTTGGGCAAGGTTGCGCTGCATTTATAAAACTCTGGGCTGTTATCTTCAGGCGCTTTGGACCTTTCATGCTTTTTTATTACATGCTTTTTTTTTTCCAGATTTCAGCGTCCGTTTGGTACACAAATTTTCACTACTCTAGTCCCTATTCTATCCAAAATACTACACTTATTTTTTTATTTTTAAAATATTATTCTATATTATTCAATTCTTTTTAAACCTCCTAAATTTGTATTCAATGCTTTTTAAACCCCCTAGATTTGTTAATTTAACGACGGCCAAAATATGGTTGTCATTAGCCATCAACGACGACCATATCTTTGGGCGTCAGGCCAACTGGCCATGTACCGATATGACGACTCTGGCCACCCTTCGATGGTGGTGGCTAACTATCGGTATTTAATGAGTGGGTGGAGATTTTTTTTTTAATTTTCAATATTTTACTATAGTGATGTTTAGTAAATGAACAAACCTAGAATGTATTTTTATTAATTTTCAAATTTCACATCGTAATAACCACTCAATTTTACTTTTTTCAAAATATTATTCTAAAAAGTATAGAATAATAAGCAAGTGCACCCTCAAATTTCAAATTTATTTTTGTTTCTTTAGATTCCAACTATAATTCTGTAGTTCTGCTGACTGCCACAAGGCCCACAACACATTCTAAGCGATGTTGGATATCACACTAAAATTCAGCATACTTTTGATACTGGTTTCACATGCACCCAAGAAAAGGCAAGGAACTTAAACTTGTACAGATTAATAGAATATATAAGAAAAAGAAAAAAATTAAAATGGTTTCTCAAACGATTTCTTCACAAAGATTACTTCCCAAACTGATGATGAAAAATGAGCTTTTTTGTTCAAGTATTCTATAACAGCTTTATCATTAACAAGAAATCCCTTCTGTCTCAATGTTGCAATAGCACTCTGAGCTTCTTCAACACCTTTCTCCCTACACAAACCATCAACTGATCCAGCAAAAGTTATAACATTCAGAGAATGACTAGCTTCTATCATTTCAATACAATAGTCAATAGCATCTTCTAACTCGTTAGCATTACATAAACCTTGAATTAACACACCATAACTGAAGGCATTTGGAGAGATGCCATCGGTCTGCATTTTCCTAAAAATCCTCTTTGCATCATCTAATTTATGAGCCTTGCAATAGCAATCAACAACAGCAGTGTAAATAACAACTTCAGGAATGGTACTTGTTTCGCGCAACAAACCAAAAAGTTTCATTGCTTCCTGAACAAGACCGTCTTTGTAGAGCCCATCAAGCATAGCAACAGCATCTAGAATGAGACCTGTTTCCTTCATTTTCTTGAAGATCTCGTCCGCGTCTTGGGGAGGATCAATCTTGTGTTGTGTTGCTATTGGTGCATCATTTTGTGAGGGATTTTCTGCCTTCTTCTCCACAGACAGTTTGAATTTTTCTAGGAAATTCTCGTTTGATTGAACATCATCGGCAACCTCAGATGGTTGAGGGCGAGCTCTGTTAGTGTCATTGAAGTGAGTGTGAGAAGAATATTGAGATGGATTATGATTATTAAATGGTCTCCTCCCCTCAAAGGTCTATTTGGTATTGGCTTAGGAGGGTTCTGATGGACATAGTTGTTTCTGTATCTACCATCATCATCTTCATCATTATTAGTGTTAATGCTTGATTTTGACACCAACGACTCGCATGTGCAAAATACTAAGATGACTTAGTGCACGTGATATGGAAATATGCAATGAGATAATAAATGAGAAGTGGTTTTTAAAGTGGTTCGAGTGCCTAAAAGCAAATCGTACGTCCACTATGGTTGTATTAATAGATGGTTACAGTCAGGTTGCGTTCAGCGAGCTGAATTACAATCTCGAGAGAATTGAAATATATATATGAAGAGAGAGAGAGTATGCTTTTGAAGACTAAAGATGAGCTAATCCCGTAAATGAGAGAGGAGCCCTCTATTTATAGTTGGGGAATTCAAGGTAGTAATCATGATTCTCCAGTCGGGCAGGTGTGGTATAATTCCTAACCTACTTCCCATTGGATGTTTGCACGGGAGACATCCATAAATCGCATAGAGCTTGGGCAGGTGGACAATTCCAAGCCACTCACAAGCCTGACATTCACTTGCCACATTGACGATAGTCTTACCTCTTCCGTCCTTGCGCGACGTGGCCACGTCTAGATGGCACAACCCCTTCCAGAACTTTAATTGGCCCTTGCTGGCATGAGTTTACGTCAGCCTTGATTTCAAGCAGTTAAGATAATGTGAAACTAGTGGTTCAACACGACCATCGAGCTGTAAAGAGGCTGCAGCATAGGTCTCTAAGAATAGCACAAGCGACCTAAACCGACCTTCTCCCACAAGTTCAGTGACCTGGGTCGGACCCTACTCAGTGCTATACTAACATGCTTTGAATTTCATCTGTCGCTTGTGACCTAAAAATACTAAGCACATTTTTACTGAAAACTAGGAATCACATCGTTTTGAAATCGGTACACGGTGAAGAGTGTTTTACTCAAACGACCTCTTCAAATGTTATCCGTTGCGCTTGACAACTAGTCTAGTCAATAAAATAAACTTTATTCTGACAGACTGTCTATTGCGCAATAAATGCCAGCCATGCACATTAAATGTAAGCCATGCTGAAACGACATTCCCTTTGAGAGCATCAAATGCGGATGATGGCGCATTTAATGTTGAGGAGGTAACCACGCTGACGCTTGGTTGCTCCAACAGAGGGAAACGTTGATTGGCATCCACGAAGCGTGAAGGTTACTCTTCTCGTGGTTTAACGACATGTGGTCGTAATCAATGGTGAGAAACATATCCTGCCCAAGCGTCGCTTGCTTAGGGAAACCAATCGTCGTCTTTCCCTCTATAAAAGCCCAGGTTCGCCTCAAATTTTATCATAGAACTCACATTTTCAGAGAGAAAAACAAAACTCTTGCACTCGCGAAATCAGTCCGTTCTTCTTCCAGTTGATGCGCACTATTCGTTATGACAGGAAGTTCGTTCCCAATAGTCAAGAGGTAAGGAAGGCTTCTCCTTCATTTTCTTATATTATTTTTTATTAAAAGCTTGATTTTACGGTAATGGTGGGTGTGAACTACTTGGTTAGCTTACATGGTGCATATTTCTAGATAGTGGTAAGAAGAGAACTTTTTTCTTTGTAAAAAGTGAGAACTTAGGACACGGATTCTTAGGAATTCATTCCCAAAAGTCTTTAGGTTTTTCTAAGGGTTAAGGAAGGTAAACTAGGGTTTCTTTTGCTTTTCCACATCATCGTACAAAACACTATACAGAGACTGAGTTATCTCTGCATGTCTCCCCTTTTTCAGATTTTAGGAGTAATAGATACTTCAGCGACTAGAGCAGCCAAGGGGACGAGCTCGTAGGTGCCAGACACCTCAACAGGTCTTGTGCAAGAAGCATTATCAATAGCCACTTGGGATGAGATATAGAAAGCGATAGACCAGTTCACGCTTAGCATGGATGTCTACCAGCATAGGATGTACATAGCTCGGAATCCCCTAGAGGGAATGGCCACGATCTCCAAGGCGATCTTTAAGTGTGGGGCATTGATACCTTTTCACCCCTTCATTAGATCGATCCTCAACCAGTTCGAGGTCGCGCCATTGCAATTGACACCTAGTGCATATATGATAGCGGTTGCTATGTATGTCGCATGTGGCGAAAATGGTATTGGCGAGCTGACAACGCTGGAGCTCGCATGCGTCTACTATCTGAAGAAAAGTAAAGATAAAGACTCTTTTTACCTCTCAAAGTGATCTATGATTGAGGGGGGAATATTTTGTTACCCTAGTAACTTCAGGGCTTATGAGACCAAATTTTTCTTTTTTGAATATGATGGCGTTTGCCAATTTAGGGAGCATAGTAGGTTTTCCTTTCCTTCGATTTGTGAACTGTCCCTTTTTTCTTCAGCTCTTATATTTAACGAACTTTTTGTTTCTTTGCAAGAAATAAGACAACCAGATTGACAACTCTGACAGACTTTAACCGAATTATGACATTCAATCATCTACCCAAGTAGAGTCACAATAGGAGACTACTTGTGACTACTGGAACTTAAGAAAGTATCGCTTTTTCAATTCGAAAGCATTTTAGGAATTAGCCCGTAAGTATCTTCCTACTTAGACCCCCTTTCTTTTTCCTGAGGTGACCTTTTCGCTAACATGCTTTCATGGCGCGTAGTGACCATGCCACCCAGGGTTTCAAGGCCGTCGATGAGGACTACAGGGTTTGTGTTTCCCCGGGTCAACCCGATCAAGCCATCCAAGGTGATCCCCGACGATATCCCTACATGAGGGATACAGATTAATGCCGAAAGGCGAACACCCACGGAGCGATATGGAGAAGCTTCTCGGCCCGTGGCTACTCATGACGCTAAGTAGAAAACTATGGGCCAAAAAACCAAGAAGATGAAGTAGCTGCTTGCCAAGGAGGAATCGGAGTCCGAGCCGGAGGGCTTCAGGATGCCGCCGAGGGGATCACAGCCTTACTAGGCTTTTCGCTTAGGGGTGCCTCTGAGGAGCATGCCTAGCACTTTGACGGTGCCTGAGAGCTCGTGCAGAGGACAGGGGGAGGTCGCAGTTGCCCAAAGGAGGCTAACTCTTGTTTCTTTTCTCATACAATCCATGCTCGCCTTGCATATGGCCCAACAAAAGATCGATCTGGACTCTGCTGGAAGGTTCTACAAGCTGAGAGAAGAGAATACTAAGCTAAAACAGGACTTCGTGGCTCTGGATGCAAATGTGAAAACAGTCCACATTCAGGCGAATTAGTACTTGGTAGAGAGAAATTATGCCCTTCGCACAATGGACTTCCAGAAGGCCGAGCTCGAGAAGAGAGGCGAGGAGAACGAGGAGCTCCAAAGGACAGTGGTCAAACTCACCAAAGAGTGTGACGAGAAAGAGAAGGAGCTGAAGGCGAACTCTGAGCATGCCATGAAGGCAGAAGAAGATAGAGCTCAACTCTGGGAAAACTCTAAGAAGTAAAAGAGGGCTCTAGAGGTAGATCTCGAGCTGTTCCAAGGGTAAGTCGCTTCATTAACTGAGCAGATGAAGCGGCAAAATCTTGAACTCAAAAGGAAAGTCGCTAACTAAGCAATACATGCCATCTACAACTTGCAATCGAGGAATCCGGGGATGGACCTCACCGACCTCCCGAGTGAATATCAGGACATCCTTGCTTCCATGGCCCAAGCTGATGATGTTGAGGAGGAAGAGGGACAAAAACCTCTTTCGGAGGATGACCAGCTAGAGGCATACGTCCCTGAGGACCCAGTAGTTGATTAGACGGTCGGCGACCAACTGGTGGATATGGAGGTCGCGCCCGCAGAGCCTGGAGGCGGGGACCAATGATCGCCTCTTCTGTTTTTGCATAACTTTCCTTTTGACTCTTCTTTTTTTTCTTTTTTTCTTTCGCTGCCCACTGTACTTATTTTGACATATATATACAAGGAGTATTTTCGGCCATTTGTGATAACACTTCTATAATTCGAGCACTTCACAAGACTAATATTATACATCTAATCAGGAAACTTGTAAAAATATTGTAATGAACAAGATCATTAAAAAGAACATGACACAAATATTGCTTTAAGATAAAGCAGAACGATCTTATTCATAAAGATTACAAGAAAAAGAAATGAATAAAATTAAGAGCGAGTTTGGAATTACTGGTAATAGGGCTGAAGATGCTCAACATTCCAAGCTCGTGGTACTTCGGAACCATTAAGCCTCTTGAGGTGATACGTTTCAGGTCATATTACTTTAGCAATACGGTATGGACCCTCCCAGTTAGGTCCCAATACCCCCGCACTTGGTTCCCTTGTACTAAGAAGGACTTCTTTCAGAACCAGGTCGCCAACCTGAAAGTCTCTTCTCCTGACCTTAGAGTCAAAGAACCTTTTCGCATGCTGCTAGTAGGATGCTATCCTTAACCGAGCCTTGTCGCGGTGTTCTTCAACTAGGTCCAAACTTGCACGTTGTAGTGCTTCATTGTCTGTTTCGTTAAATAGGTCTCTCTGGAGTGAACTAGTCTCTATTTCCACTAGAATCATAGCCTCGCAGCCATATGCATGCGAGAATGGTGTTTTCGAAGTAGAGGTTCTCAGAATTGTTCTGTATGCCAATAGAACTTCTGGGAGGTCATTGGCCCAATTGCCATTGACAGCGCCAAGCTTGGCCTTCAGTGTGTACTTGATGGTCTTGGTGACAGTTTCGACCTGATCATTGGCTTGTAGTTTTGCGACTAAGGCTAACTTTTTATGGATCCCCAACTCATCGCTAAACTGTTTGAATTCTTTATTATCGAATTGCTTCCCATTATCAAAGATAAGTGTATGAGGAATCCCGTAGCAGCATACTATATTCTTGAAGACGAAGTCTTTAAGCTTCTTGGTAGTAATCGCGACCAAAGGCTCGGCCTCGACCCACTTGATGAAGTAATCTATCACGACCACAACATACTTGACTCCCCTTTTTCCGGTTGGCATGGGCCCAATGAGATCAATTCCCCATATAGAGAATGGCCAGGGGCTGGTCATTATCGTCAGTTGGTGGGAAGGAGCTCGTGGGATGTTTGCGAACCGCTAGCACTTGTCACACTTTTTCATAAAGTTGATAGTGTCTTCCAGAAGTAGAGGCCAATAATATCATTGGCGGACAATTTTATTGGCGAGGGATCGTGCGGCGGTATGATTACCGTATATCCCTTCATGTATCTCCCTCATAATGTATTCTGCTTTGTCGTTGGTTACACATCGGAGGAGAGGGGCGCTAAACCCTCGCTTGTATAATTGATCTCCGACAAGCATATAACGAGCAGCTCTGGTGCGTAGGATTTTTGCCTCAGTCTTGTCACCAGGTAGAGTCCCATCTCGGTACCAGGTAGAGTCCCATCTCGGAGATACTAAATGATTTGAGTCATCTAGGAGATAGATTCTGTTACTACTACAGTCTGCTTAGGCGAGCTAATGTTAGGAATTTCTATGTACTGAACTGGAATACTTTCCGGCACATCTGAGTCAGCGATAAGGCTATTCTTGCCAAGGTGTCTGTGACAGAGTTATTGTCTCTCGGGATTTACTTGATCGTTAAGCCGTTGAAAGGCTTAAGTGCGGCCTTAGCTTTCTTCAAATAGCTGATCATGTTTTCTTCCTTGGCTTGATATTCTCATAAGATTTGATTAACAACCAACTAGGAGTCACTATGAATGCTGATCGCGTCCAATCCCATTTCCCTCGCTAGTCGTAGACCGGTGAGCAGCACTTCGTATTCGGCCTTATTGTTTATAGCTTGGAACCTAAATTGAAGAATTCCATGAATGCAAGTCCTTTCGGGACCGAGGAGGAGAAGACCTACCTTGGCTCTTTTTCTATTCAAGGAACCATCAACATAGAGGCTCCAAGTTGATAAATTCTAAACGGTTTCCTGGATGACTTTGCTGGCTGACTGCTTGGATTCTCGATTTGGCTGGTACAAGAATTCTGAAATAAAATCGACAATAGCGTGCGCTTTGATGGTTGCCTTCGGTCTATAATGTAGATCGAACTGACTCAATTCCATTGCCTATTTGAGTAACTTACCAGAAGCTTCCAGCTTCTGAAGAACTTGCCTTAGCGGGTAGTTGGTCAAAACATGGATTGTGTAGGCATGGAAATAGGGTCGCAGCTTCCTGGAGGCGATCAGCAGGGCATAAGCTAATCGCTCCATTTTTGGATACCGCATCTCGGCGTCCAATAGTTGCTTGCTCGTGTAATACACTGGCCACTGAACTCTACCCTCTTCCCTAATGAGAGCAGCGCTGACTATATACTGAGAGACGTGACAGGTAGAGGAATAGAATTTCCTTGGGAAGAGGCTTGGATAGAAGAGGCAGCTTTCCGAGATGTTCTTTTATACTCTCAAAAGTTTGCTCACACTCTGGAGTCCATTTGAACTTCTTGTTGGCCTTAAGTTTCTTAAAAAATGGTAAGCAACGATTTGTTGCCCTTAATATGAAGCGACTGAGAGCCGTTATCCTTCCATTTAGGCTCTGAACCTAGTTTCGGTTGATCAGGCTTTTCATATCGAGAAGAGCCTGGATCTTCTCGAGGTTGATTTCGTTTCCCCTTTGGTTAACCATATACCCCAGAAACTTTCGTGAGGATACTCCGAATGAGCACTTAAAGGGTTGAGCTTCATTCTGTACTTTTGGAATACATTAAACATCTCAGCGAGATGCGGTATGTGATCTAAAGCGACATGCGATTTGACCAGTATGTCATCAACATAAACTTCCATCGACTTTCTGATCTGCTCGAAAAACATATAGTTAACCAGCCGCTGGTATGTTGCCCCAACATTTTTTAGCCTGAAGGGCATAACCTTGTAACAATACAGTCCCCGATCTGTAATGAACGAGGTGTGCTCTTCGTTAGGTACGTACATTAGAATCTGATTGTACCCCGAGTAGGAGCCCATAAAGCTCATAGCTCATGCCCAGAGGTGGCATCAACAAGCTGGTCGATCCTTGGCAAGGGAAAATTGTCCTTCAGACAGACTTTGTTGAGGTCAGTAAAGTCGACATAGGTTTGCCACTTGCTATTGGGCTTTACCAAGACTGGATTGGCAACCCAGCTTGGGTAAAACACCTTTTGAATATACCTGTTTAAAAAGAGTTTATCTACCTCAGTTTCAAGGTAGCATAACGCTCAGGTCCATGACTATTTTCTTCTGGCGAACCGGCTTGACTGCACTGTTAATGTTGAGTGCATGACATATTACATTAAAGCTGATCCCGATCATATCAGCATGAGTCCATGAAAAAACATCGACATTCTCTCTGAGAAAGCTCGTCAAGCTTTTGGCGAGCTAGGGGTTGAAATTACTCCTGATTCTTAACACTAGGGTCAGCTCATTCTGATCAACTAATACCTCATATAGGTCCTCAACTGGCCCACTATGAGGGCACTCTTGGATGCAAGGATCCATGTTGTCCTCTACTGGGCTGAGTTGTGGCTCGATCATACTGATCATTATAGCCTGCTCAGGGATGCCTATTGGCTTTCCTTTTCTCTTGCACGCCATCTGCACTACTCTTATGTAGCAGTCGCGAGATTCGCGTTGAGATCCTTTTATTTCCCCAATCCCCGTTGGAGTGGGGAACTTCATTTTCAGATGATAGATGGAGGTGAGGACCTTGAAACTCGTAGTAGAGGTCATCTCAGAATGCCATTAAAGGCTGACAGATAGTCTACCACTAAAAACTCCGCATCTTGGTCATTTCATTGGTCTCACCCAATGTGATAGGGAGTGCGATCATTCCCCTAGGGATCAGATGACCCCCATTAAAGCTATAGAGAGGAATGGAGGCAGGTTTTAGGTCTATCTTGTCCAATTGCATTTTATCGAAAGCTTGCTGAAACAGGATATTCACAGCGCTTTCATTGTCCACCAACATTATGTAGACTTCGCACCGACCTATTTCAGGAGCGATAACGAGTCCATCCTCATGGGGATGATGCAATTGCACTACGTCTTTCTCTGAGAAGGAAATCTCCTCCTTCTTGTGAACCTTAGCGGGTCGCAGCGTCGTACTCATCACATTCACGGGGTCATGACAAGCTTTATGAGCGTACCTTTCTGAGCACCTCGAGAATTCCCCGTGAGGTATGGTCCTCCAAAGATTATCCCTACGCAATAGAGGCCCTTGCTACCACGGTGCTTCTTCCCTTATTCCTTTTGATCTTTTTCTCGAATGGGAGTCAGACCCATCAACATACTCCTTGAAGTGCCCTTGCTTGATGAGGTCTTCAATTGCTTGCTTGAGAGCCTGACACTCATCGGTGTGATGCCCATTATCCTGATGATAGCGGTAGTATTTTTTGTTGTTCCTAGCTGAGGGAGGATTCTTCATGGGCTCTGGCTTTCCGAGCAGGCTGGCCTCCTCTGACTTATCCAGAATAGCCGACACTGAGGCATTCAAAGGAGTGTGAGCCACTTTGTGGAGTTCCTTGTGGAATTTGTCTATGTAAGACGGGAAGGATTCGTTCCTCTTCTGTCGTATGTTGCTTAGATAGCTCAACGACATCGAGAGCTTCCTGTTCGCCTAGAAGTGTCTCAAGAATGACGAGCTCATTTGTTGGCACGAGCTGAAAGATCTTGCGGGAAGTGATCTGAACTAGCGTTTGGTATAGGCAGTCAAAGTTATTGCCAAGCAGCGACATTTGACTAAGTCGAAGACTTGGTAGAGTTCCATAAGGTCGTTGAACTCGTAAAGGTGATCCTATAGATCAGTATTCCCATCAAACGCCTACATGTCGGGCATTCTGAATCTCGATGGGAGAGGAGCAGCTAGCACTGTTGGAGAAAAGGGAGACGCCTTAGCGACCTTCCCACGCTCATTCTGTTGAGCCTTAAGCTGATCCAAAACTTGCTGTAATTCCTCAATCTAAGGTAGTGGAGCTACTTGAGGATCACTTTCCGCAATATAGGTTCGACCCTCATGGTTGCGGTTGAGGAAAGATCGCAAATTAGACTATTCCTTAACTCGGCCAGAAGCTCCAACGAACCTTGACACAAGCTAGCTGGGGTTGTATGAAGGCATTGAATGGCTCAGAGAGTTTTCTCGACCTCTGCAGTGGTCAAAACCAACCCGCAAACGATGGGGGTTTCCCACATGATGACAGTCGAGGTCATCATTTCGACGATATTGGGAATCTTCCTGCCTTGCACTTTTGTGGGAGTGCCCATACGACGTGGTGTGGGATGGCTCACGCTGCGACATGTCGTCAAGTTGCAATGCCATAGGTATTTTACCCGTTGCGTGACAGGTGTTCACTAGTCCCTCGGAGCCCTTTGGTCCACTTTTTGCCACTTGCTTTCCCTTACTTTTATGTGCTGCAGTGCACGCGGTACGAGCTTTCACCATTTTCTGTGCTTTTGCGCGACTTGCAAGCGTCTTTGGCAGTGGCACCACCTCGTTGGACTCTAGTGGTACGACCCGATCCAAACGGTCTAACCTTTGGCTAACCGTTTGGAGAGTATTGTTGAACCTCTCCTAGTAATTCATCATAGCTGGGTTGAGTTGTGAGCTCGACTCTGTTAGATTGGCGGCACTTTGGGAGAATTGTTATCCTGTACCTAGGGGATTTTCTCATTGTCGAGGTCGGTTCGCTCAGTTTTGAAACCGCGAACCATTTGCTGATGGATAGGACCGATCGGTTAGAGATTTCTGATGAAGAGGAAATACTAAATCAACGCCCTCCTTCTAACGCCAAATTGTTAATGCTTGATTTCGACACCAACGACTCGCACGTACAAAATGCTAAATGGACCTAGAAATTACACGTGATATGGAATTATGCAATGAGAGAATAAATGAGAAGCGGTTTTTAAAGTGGTTCGGATACCCAAAAGTGAATCCTACGTCCACTATGGTTGTATTAATAGATAATTACAGTCAGGTCGCATTCAGTAAACTGAATTACAATCTTGAGAGAATTGATATATATATATATATAGAGAGAGAGAGAGAGAGTATGCTTTTGAAGACTAAAGATGAGCTAATCTTGTAAATGAAAAAGGAGCCCTCTATTTATAGTTGGGGGATTCAAGGTAGTAATCATGATTCTGTAGTCGAGCAGATGTGGTACAATTCCTAACCCACTTCCCATTGGATGTCTGCACGGGAGACATCCTTAAATCGCGTAGGGCTTGGGCAGGTGGACAATTCCTAGCCACTCACAAGCCTGACATTCACCTGCCACATTGGCGACAACCTTACATCTTTTGTCCTTGCGCGACATGGCTGCGTCTAGATGACACAAAGCCTTCCTGAACTCTGATTGGCCCTTACTGGTGTAAGCTTACGTCAGTCTTGATTTTTTAGGCATAATAATTGGCATTGAAATCTCTCAAGGAAGAAAAATGACGTAGTATTGTTGTTGTAGTAGACTCACAGAGCTCCGACCTGCCTAAAAACTTGATAAAAATCCGACCTTTAGATGATGGCATCATCTTCTATTTTGTTTTCAATCCTATAATGAATTCAAGAGTTTGGGGTCGCGGAGTGGAAGAAGTTAGGGTTTTGGCTACATATACAGAGGGCACATCAGTCATTTCAAGTAGATGCCACAAGGTCAAATGAGATAAGGTAAAAAGAATAATACTACATATACATTATTTCTATACAATATTTCTCATACAACATTATGTGGTAAAATGTAATTGGGTGAAAGTTTAATTTTACCTTTAAATTAGCCAATCATATCTTATCATATTATGTTGTATGGGAAATGTTGTATAAAAATGATGTATGGATAGTATTACTCATGTAAAAAAACAAAGCAACAGACAGTAGATAGATGTCTTTTTTTTTTTTTCTCGTTTGATATATTTGCTCCAAAACCAAACAGGATGCACATTCTGACTCAAGACTCTTGTTATCTTATTCAAAGTGGCTACTGGCGGAACAGTGACGAGAGGAATGGCGAGCATTGTGGCGGGGACGCCTTGGATGAGAATTAGAACGATAAGGAAGCTAGAGCTTGCTCCTCCTCAAATTTTGCGCCAATCGTGTGTGTATTGTTTTGTTAACAAGGAGAGGAGATTTTCAGTCTCAGCGTCTTTATCTACACGTTCAAACAAGGTTGATGGACAAGTCAGAGTTCGTTTTGCTCCTTCTCCCACCGGGAACCTCCACGTCGGTGGTGCCAGAACCGCTCTCTTCAATTACTTGTTCGCTAGGTAATTTTTTTTTTCCTCCTTAGTTTCAAATCATTCATTCATTTTATTTTAAAGATTTGTAATTGGCTTTGTTTATTGATTTTGTAGATCGAAAGGAGGAAAATTTGTTCTGAGAATTGAAGATACTGACTTGGAGAGGTCTACTCGAGAATCTGAGGAGGCAATGCTTCAGGATCTTTCTTGGCTTGGTCTTGATTGGGATGAAGGTACGGGATTTCTTGATATATAATCAATGATATCTTTTTGTGGTGAAAAACTTGTTTATCTTATAAGAAGTGATTAATTTATTATGTCTGCGGGGAGAATTTGTTAGGCCCAGGTGTTGGTGGAGATTATGGTCCGTATAGGCAATCTGAAAGGAATTCTATGTATAAGCAATATGCGGATAAGCTTGTGGAATCGGGTCATGTTTATCGCTGTTTTTGTTCTAATGAGGTATTAGTTTTTCTAGTGTGTAGTGTTTTGCGTTTGATGGATATTACATTATCTGTTTTGCTATTCTTAATGATGAAATGTGTGTTGAGCTTAAACATGTGATTCATTATTCTCTGCAGGAACTTGAGAAAATGAAGGAGATTGCAAAATTAAAGCAGCTGCCTCCGGTGTATACAGGAAAGTGGGCCACTGCAACTGTTGCAGAAGTACAAGACGAGTTGGCAAAAGGAACCCCTTACACATATCGATTTCGTGTGCCGAAGGAAGGGAGATTGAAAATCAATGACCTCATTAGAGGAGAAGTAAGTTCTATTCATTTGATTCTTTCCATTGCAATAGATTTGTTACTAACAAATTCCAATATTTGTTCTTTTATAATGAGTCTGATCTTTTGTTTCAGTGGTTTTTATCTGTGAACTTAATGTCTATTTTTTCCCTTATTAGCTTGTGGTCAGTGTTTGCCTTTTGTGCCAAAGTGATATGATTTAATGACAAAAGTGCTCATACCAAAGAGCTCAGGATGGTACGACGCTTTTGAGATTTGATATTGTCTATGTTCATGAGGAAGATGGATTTAACTTTCCCTGAATTTCAAATTGCCTTTCTGAAACACTTGAAAGATGTGCTGTTTTAATGCTTCCCGCAAATGAGTGAATTTGTGAGATTGAGAAATTTTTTTGAGTGCATAATAATTATACAGACCAGTGTGCTATGCAATACCCCATGCCTTCCCTAAAAAATACGAAGTGGGATGATGCTTGGCACTGGTCTGCTCCCTTAAACCTCTGTTAGTTGGCTAAGCCATTGGACAACAAAGAAGTGGTGATGTGCACAATATCATTATCATTGCCAGTAATAATTTGTGTAACAGTAGTTCACAACTTAATAGCACATGTAGTCAGATCAATATGGTATAGGTGTTAACTTTGTTGGATAGTGTTGTGAAGGTTAGTTGGAACTTGGACACTCTTGGGGATTTTGTAATCATGAGGAGCAATGGACAACCTGTTTACAATTTTTGTGTCACGGTTGACGATGCCACTATGGCTATTTCTCATGTTATAAGGTATTACTAAAATAACTTCCACATTAATGGAAATATTCCATTTGCCATTCTCAATATTTCTTTAGTTTGCTGCCTTTGACTTTATTTTCCATATCTGTTTTGTCTATGATATCTTCATAACCTCTCAACGCTTGCATTTCAGAGCAGAAGAGCATTTACCAAATACTTTGAGGCAAGCACTTATATATAAGGTAACTTAAGTGCTCCTGGGTTGTAATTTATTTTTGCTTGCTTGTTGTTGTAGATGCTCTGGTTTTTCATAACAATGTCGACAAGCTGATTTGGGTATCTATATTCCATTTCAGGCTCTTGGATTCTCAATGCCTAACTTTGCCCATGTTTCGTTAATTCTTGCACCTGATAGGAGTAAGCTATCGAAAAGGCATGGTGCAACTTCAGTGGGTCAGGTAGTTACTCGGTACTTTCCTTTGTTTTAAGTTGGGATATATGATATTATCTTTCTCTTATGTCTTTGGTTGTTGGCTTTTTACTTCAAACAAATTTTTTTATGGAGGGCAAGAATTCTCTGACTGATTATACCTCCCATTTAACAGTTCAGGGAGATGGGCTACCTGCCTCAGGCAATGGTAAACTACCTGGCACTTTTAGGTTGGGGTGATGGCACTGAAAATGAATTTTTCTCACTCAAACAACTTGGTTAGTTTTCCTTTTATTTATACCTGATTATCTGTACATTTCATAAAAACCTTGCTAAAAGCTTGTCTTATAACCTCTGATTGTATCAACTTCTATTTTTGAACAATTTCTTGCTTGTTCATACCATTTGCAGTTGAGAAATTCTCAATCGAACGTGTTAACAAAAGTGGCGCTGTCTTTGATTCTACTAAATTAAGGTAATTTTGGCCTTTCAGCTGCTAATGCTGACAGGCCTTGTTTCTTTATTTTTATTTAGCAGGCATTTCCAGACTATACTATGTGCCCTAGGGGATGCTGATGAACGAATATTTGAAGTTAAATAGCTGTCTGACATTCTTCCCGTGTTTGTGCATTTTGTGTTAGAATTTTCTAATAGTTTCTTCTTTGACATATATCTATGAGTTAAAGGTGGATGAATGGTCAGCATTTAAGGGCCCTTCCATCAGAAGAGTTGACCAAACTTATTGGTGAACGCTGGAAGAGCAGTGGTATCCTCAACGAATCAGAGGGGCCGTTCATAGATGTATGATTTTTTTCTCTGTATCTTCAAATGCATTCTGCTTTGACTTATTAATGGTCATAAACTAGTTCATGAAACCTCAAATAGTACACTCAGCTCTTTTTTGTTATGAGCTAAAATAGGCAACAAAAGCAACGATATTTTGGGGAACTAAATAAATTCTTGAATGTCGGTCTATTCTCTACTTCTCAAAGGAGCTGTGGGTCATGGTTCGATCAAGGATTCTGGTTGTCCTTTAACTAACCATGGGATTTTAGAAATTTTATATTCCCACTGTTTGGTTATGTGCATTGAAAGGCCGGCTCAAATTTTGATTTTCCAAGTACATTAGATCTTGAATGTGTCTATTCTCTACTTCTAAAGTTTTGCTGGTTGTATTGGGTGGGAGGATCTTTTGTTTTAGTTTTCATCTCCAGCCATCTACTTCAGTGTGTTGCATAATATTTATGGCATGACTTTGTGCAAACAGGAGGCACTTCAGCTACTCAAGGATGGGATTGACTTGGTGACAGACTCGGACAAAGTACTTTCAAATTTGCTGTCTTATCCTTTGCATGCTACTTTGACAAGGTGATAAGAGATTTTCTTGTATTTAAATTTCTGCTTTCATGATATAGTTTGATGTCATTCTTGAGTTGAAAAGTTAATAGTTAATATCATCTCTGTCATACATCTTACTGACCTTGCATCTTAAGTTTTGCTACGGCATTTTTGTAAATGCTAAAGTATAATTGTCTGCAGTTCATTGTTGTAGACAATATCTTTCATTTGAAGTTATGTTTAAAGGTATAACTGTCATGTTGTTCTTACCATGTGATTGTGCACACAGTCCTGAAGGCAAATCGGTTGTAGAAGATAAGCTTTCTGAAGTTGCAGCTAGCCTCTTAGCTGCCTATGATGGTGGTGAACTTGTTGGTGCACTCGAAGAAGGCCCTGCTGGCTGGCAAAAGTGGGTGAAGAACTTTGGAAAATCATTGAAGCGCAAGGTGAGGTCTAAATGGATGATTCTTCTCTTTCTTTTTCATCTTCTTGCTACTGAACTCTGACCCTTTGGCCAATCTGGACCGACATTGCAGGGGAAATCGCTTTTCATGCCCCTCAGGGTGTTGCTAACCGGAAAACTTCATGGCCCTGATATGGGTGCCAGCATAGTTTTACTCCACAAAGCTGGAACCCACGGAGTCATAACTCCTCAAGCCGGGTTTGTGACATTGAATGAAAGGTTCAACATGCTGAGGCAAATTGACTGGGAAGCATTGAACAGAAATGAACCCCTCTTGGAGTCTACCACCTCGTTATCCAACTGAGGATTCACAATTTTGACCGGCGCATTAGAAACCTTAGATTTTTACTTTCGATATATTTGTGCATCAACCAAGGAGACCAATAAGAAGAGTTCATTCTGTAATATTCCAACTGAGGGATGTGGATATACAGTTTTCTTTAAAATGAATTGTTTATTTATTTCAAGTTGACAAATCTCCGCATGCATGCAAATGTAGCAGCAACAGCTCAAATGCATCAGCCTGTTCTTCAAGCTAACATAGAGGCTTTCTAAGAAATTATTTTGCAATGCTTTAAAACTCAGCATGTTCTTCAAGCTAACATTGAGGCTTTCTAAGAAACTATTTTGCAATGTTATAAAACCCAACCCTGGTATAAAGGTTTGAAATTAACAAAAATGCCCTTAAACATGACATAGAAGTCCCTATAGGTTTTAAATCTTGCAAAAACATCTCAAACACCACCATTGGCATTGGCAAATAGGGCATGTTTCTGGCTATAACAACTCCCTATTATCACGAAAACACTCCCTTCATCCTTTTGACCAAAACTCATGTCACTCCTCTCTCGTTTGTCGCCCCAATTGCTAATGATAATGGGCTTTTTTGGGTGACATTGTTTTGTGATTTTCGGTCGATTCACTCACTGGAAATTGACATCGTTGCCATTATTGTACTCACCGGTCATTCTTCTTAAAAAAATCCTAACATTTCAGTCTTCAATTGTTCACAAATTGATGTCTTAATTTCTAGAGTTTTCAATGAATAGGAAAATTTGTAACCTGACCCGGTGAAGGCTCCGAGTCCTGATTCAACTTGTTGGGCTAGACTAGATTTTAAAATACTGTTTAATATTTTGTATACGATTTGGTTGAAGAGAAAGAAAGAAAGAAAGAAATAATTGAAATTTCAACTAAATTGAAAAAGATAGTCAAAAAAATAAAAGGAAAGATCTAATTTTGTAAGCAATCCTATTACACCATTGGATCTAACAAGTAACATCTAACCTTAGATTTATTTTCTTGAGAACCTTCCCCTGAGGTATATAGAAATGTCATCAGAAACCTCTAAGATATAAAATCATTGATAATTTAATACCTTGACTTTCCTTCCGTCTCAGATTAACGTGATCACTGTCCACTGATCACATCAGGGAGGTAAGTGATGATTCATATATCTAGGGGACTTTATGGTATTTTATTAAACCTGATGAAGGTAATAGATATTAGCCCTTTTTTAATGATCACGTGAGGAACACGCGGAAAAGCATGCAAAGAGAGAGGAGAGAATAGGAATTACGTAAGCATAGGTCTAGCTCAGGCAACCAATCACATCCACCAGACCAGACCACCATTACCCCCACCCCTAGTTAGATAATATGGGTACGGCAAAAAAATGGTACGAAAATTATATGGGTATAATACGATAAATGGTAAAAAATACATTTATAAAAATTCGGCCATAAAATTCGGATACGGGAAAAATACGATACGGGTATATACGGGTTTAATACGGTGCATTGTCAATAATACGTTTTGAAAAATACAGTAATATCAATCTTAATTTTAACACTTTTATGGACTACCTGGTTAAAATCAACATAACATTTCAAATACAAAAGTATTCAATTTGACTGTATTTACAAGAACATAAAAGAGAAGTAGAGAACATCATCAAATACCTGATCAAATGCAAAGTATTTAATTAACCAATAACACAAATAAACAATAAAAAATTTTTAATTAAAAATTCCTATAAAATATAAATTAACCAAAGTTTTTAAATTAAGTCATGAAGGGTCAATATAATTTATTTTCATTTATCAAGTTTTTGAATTCTACCAAACACATGCATGAAGTGAGGGTTTAATTAAAAGGAATAAAAAATTCCTATTTTTCTGTATTGAAATTTGACTATTTACAACCTGATACTCTGATAGAAAATGATACAACATTGTATCTATTAGTAATAATCAATAATCAATATTCAATTATTTCATTTTTTTTACTCTCTTTCTCCTTTTCCTAATTTAGTTAAAGATTAGTTTCTCTTTCTCTTTCACTCTCCCCCACACTGTTTCTCTTCCGATATATTAAAAAAAAATTTTTATCTCTCTAAACAAACACTCACACTTCCCACACTCTCTGAAACTCTCATTCTCCAAAACGAAACACACTCTTCATACTTCTCTTCCTCTCCATGAAGAACTCATGCTGAACCAAAACGATACAAGTGTAAAGTGTGTACCTTTGAAGTCCCGAACTTGAAGTTAAAGCCTGGAAGAAGAGAATAAGAGATGAAGAAAGCTGAAAACATGAAGAACAGAGGAAGAAAAGCTGAAGAAGTACTGAACTGAGGAAAAAGAACTGCTGCTGAACTGCCAAAGATTTGAAGAAGAATAACTGAAACTGAACCAGTGAAGTGTGAACCAGATCTGTTTCTGTTTTAATTTTTTGTATAAACCCACCAAAACGACGCTGTTTTGGGGGCGTGAGGTTATATTTTTTTTTTTCAACAATTCGCGAATTATACGTGAATTATACGGTACACCTTACTATACGCGAATTATACGACAGATTTTATAAAATTCAGATACGCGAGTATTATATGCGAATTATACGACTGTCCGTATAATTCGCGTATAATACACGTTTTTACTAACTAGGCCCCACCCCCACCACCAGTAGTCCACCAAGTACTAATCCACTACTTATAATAGAATCAGTCATATATTAATACTCTCTCATTTATGGAATGTTAATTGTTAACCACATTCACATGCTTCTAACAAAAAATTCATTTCATTCCATTCCATTCTCTCTCTTCTCAATTCTCATTTCACGTAAAATCACCCCCAAAATTCCACTCATCATGATCAAATAATTTTAGATCTGTGAATGCATTACATTTGCATTCACTGATCCGTTCTTCATCATGTCAGCTTCTCAAACCCTAGGTGGACTTTCTCGCTGCGGTCGCGCTCTCGGTCCATATCTCGACAAAATCATCAAGAACGCTGCCTGGCGGAAACATTCTCATCTCGTTTCTTCTTGTAAATCGGCTCTCGATAAGCTCGATTCCATATCGGATGATCCCTCTCATGTCTCTCCGCTCTTCGGCGTCTCTCAGACCGACGCCGAATTCGTTATTAAGCCTCTGTTTCTCGCCTTGGAATCGGCTTACCCGAAAGTTGTTGAGCCGGCTCTTGAATGCGCCTTCAAATTGTTTTCCGTTGGATTAGTTCGCGGTCAGGTTGAGGTGGAGTCTCATAATTCTGGTAATTCTAGTTCTGTTGTCTTTAAATTGATTGATAGTGTTTGTAAGGTGTGTGGAATTGGAGAAGAATCGATTGAATTAGCTGTGCTTAGAGTTTTGCTGTCTGCGCTTCGATCTCCTTGCTTGTTGATTAGGGGAGATTGCTTGTTGCTTGTTGTTAGGACTTGTTACAATGTGTACCTCGGTGGATTGACTGGAACCAACCAGATCTGTGCCAAGTCGGTTCTTGCGCAGATTATTTTGATTGTTTTTGCTAGAGTGGAGGAGGATTCCTTGGATATACCAAATATTAAGACCATATCTGTGAGTGAATTATTGGAGATTGCGGATAAGAATTTGAAAGAAGGGAGTTCTATTCATTTTTGTCAGAATTTTATAAATGAGGTTATGGGAGCCACTGAAGGGGTTCCGGATGTTAAGTTCTCACAGAAAAATGTAGCAACGGATTTGCCGAATGGTGATTCTGAGGTGTCGAAAACTGATGAGAAAGTTGAAGTGGATGAAGGACAAGGAAAAGGTGGAGAGGCGTCCGGTGTTGACAGTAAGATTAGGGAGGATGGTTTTGTTTTGTTCAAGAATATTTGTAAGTTATCCATGAAGTATTCTTCACAGGAGAACCCAGATGATCAAATCCTTTTGAGGGGGAAGATTTTGTCTCTGGAGCTGCTCAAGGTGATCATGGATAATGCGGGTCCAATATGGCGCTCGAATGACAGGCAAGTTATCGTTTTGCTCACTGAATTTTGTGATGTCACTTGTTACAAGCTATTATTCTATGTTGGATGATTTTTATTAGATGCCTTATAATATTTCCAGTGCAGTTTCTGATACTTGCTTCCATTTGCTTGTGTTTTGTGCTGTATACCATCACACAGGAGATAATGTAATAATAGTTGATTTTTTTTAATTCTTTTTCTCTTTTTTCGCCTAGCTTTTTTTTATTTTTTATTAGTTTATTAATTGATTCAGCTGGCTTTATATGATGATCAAAAGCTTGGAGTTGTATTAACTAGCTGTAAATGCTGAAATGTAAGAAATTTGATTTTTCCTTTTACTTGGCACAGGTTTCTCAGTGCTATCAAGCAGTTTCTCTGTCTATCATTGTTAAAGAACAGTGCATTATCAGTTATGGCTATTTTCCAACTTCAGTGTTGTATTTTTACGAGCTTGTTATCGAAATATAGATCAGGGCTGAAAGCAGAAATTGGTATATTCTTTCCCATGCTCATCCTCCGGGTGCTTGAAAATGTTCTTCAGCCAAGTTTTTTACAGAAGATGACCGTCCTTAACTTATTGGAGAAGATTTCGCACGATTCACAGATTGTCATTGATATATTTGTGAACTATGACTGTGATGTGGATTCTCCAAACATATTTGAAAGGTATTACACATCTACTACTCTTATTTGTATTGTTTTCTTTTTAAGTCTCATTTACACGTGGAAGTAATCATTTGTTAAAGATCAGTAATAAAATCAGCACTATGTGAAAAGATGGGCATGTGCTAGTTTGCTTAAGACTTAGTAGGTGTAGTTTGAATAATGACAGGTTTTATCGGTTCTCTTTAATTATTATTGTGTTCCCAATCTATATATTTTTGCTTTAGAATGAGTGTAATGCACTCTTTTCATTCTAGAGTACTCCTTTACAACCATTATGAATTGTTCAATAGTGAAACTCTAATATCCTATGATTTCCTCCGCGGAATACATTATCTGTCACTGGTACAGGGCTTGACTCGATGATTTCAACCATCAATAAATCACACATCAGTAAAAAGTATGTTAATTTTTATGAAGTAATGTAGATGTAATAGTATTATACAATTATGAGTTTTTGAAGAAACCTTTAAAGTTACTTTTATCCTTAATTAATTCAATATCATATGGTACTCGATACTTTGTGCATATGAAAACTGCTATCATGACTTCAAAGGTTGCATGTTCAGATATATTTTCATGCTTATGGAAGTGGAACAGAACTATCTATCTTACAAAATTGAGTTTTTAACTGAGTTCTAGGCTTTGAGTTATAGCAAGCAACAAGGAGAAAAAAATGGCCGTTCAATAAATGGCTGCTTTCAGCTTGCTCTTCGTAGAAATATTCAATTTTGGACTAAAGAACTCTGAGAGATGAGAATGTAAAGACCATGAAATAGCCAAGGGATCATAACTTGTCCATTTAAAAATAATATAAAATTCTACTTACTTATGAATTTTAATCTTCCTTTTTCTCTTTTACTTATATAATCCTATTTTAACCCAGCAAAGAACTCTTAGGAAAGATATTGGCTTGTTTGAAGGTGATGAGACCAAGGTAACTGTCTTGGGTTGTTGTCCTTATAAGTTGGGTTTGAGGATTCCATTGCATGTTTATTGGTGCCCAGTATTGGTTCGTTTCCAAATTGGGACATTCAATGAAGAAAACCTCTTAACTATTTTCTTGAAATGAAAATAACCTATAGATTTGTCATCACTTATGCACTTTTCTGATGTGGGGCTAGTAGGTTAAATATCTTTAAACTTGAAAGCCCTAATCTGGTGCAACTTCTCTCTCTCTCTCATAAGTACGCTATTCTATTAGTGATGATATTGCATTTCGTAAATGTATTAAAACCCTTATAATTCCATCAGATATTTGCAGGATTGTCAACGGCCTTCTGAAAACTGCTCTAGGACCAACTCCTGGTTCAACTACAACTTTGTCTCCAGCCCAGGATATTACCTTTCGGTATGAATCAGTGAAATGTTTAGTTAGTATCATTAAGTCAATGGGATCTTGGATGGACCACCAGCTGAGAATAGGAGATTCCTATTTGCCTAAGAGCTTTGAGAGTGATACATCAACAGAGAATACTTTGATTGCAAGCGGAGAAGATGGAGCTGTCTCTGACTAAGAGTTTCATCCTGAAGTAAATTCTGAAGTGTCAGATGCTGCTACGCTTGAGCAACGAAGGGCTTATAAAATTGAACTACAGGTTGGTATTTCTTCAGTTAGAGAATAATGTAGTTAGTTTTTCAATCAATGTATATATTCATGATTTTAAATTAGCATGGTTCATCTTGTAGTGACAACTTTATTGTATTACTTGCAGAAAGGTGTATCACTGTTTAATAGGAAACCATCCAAGGGTATTGAGTTTCTAATAAACACCAAAAAGATTGGTGGTTCTCCAGAAGAAGTGGCCACTTTTCTTAAAAAACCCACTGGCCTTAATGAAGGCATGATTGGTGATTATTTGGGTGAAAGGGAGGAATTTTCTTTGAGAGTTATGCATGCATATGTGGACTCATTTAATTTCAAAGGGATGGATTTTGGCGAAGCAATAAGATTTTTCCTGAGAGGCTTTAGGTTACCTGGAGAGGCACAGAAAATTGACCGCATCATGGAGAAATTTGCTGAGCGCTACTGTAAATGCAATCCAAATTCATTTACTAGTGCAGATACTGCTTATGTTCTTGCTTATTCTGTGATAATGCTCAACACAGATGCCCATAATAGCATGGTGAAAGATAAGGTTTGCTTGCGGAATTTGTTTGTTTTTGTCTTCTGCACACATTTATGACTTGTGCGCCTTGATTTGTGGAGTCAATTTTTCAGTCATCAGTTAGCTTTTTACTGAACTTGGAAAAGTGGGCTATATATTGTTTGAGTTATGAATCTATTATGTACATCTTAAACTCTACTCACCTCTGTTATGTATTGGTTGACTGTCCAGATGACAAAGGCAGATTTTATAAGGAACAACCGAGGAATAGATGGTGGCAAGGATTTACCTGAAGAGTATCTAGGTGCCCTTTATGATCAAATTGTGAAAAATGAAATTAAAATGAATGCTATCTCTTCTGCTCCACGGAGCAAGCAAGCGAACAGCTTGAATAGATTTTTGGGGTTGGATGGTATACTCAATCTAGTAACTGGGAAACAGGCTGAAGAAAAACCATTGGGTGCAAATGGCCTTCTCATAAAGCACATTCAAGAGCAGTTCAAGGCAAAGTCAGGAAAATCAGAGTAAGTTGTTCCCAAACATTCTTAATAATTGATAATTTTCAGATATATTATTCATGGAACATGTCAATCATCTTTATGAAGGTTGTCTGGGCTCAAGAAAAACTTGGAAATTTGTCCATAGTTCTAGGAATATAATGGGTGCGTTTGTTTCCTTATTTTTGCCCTATCCTATTCCTATCATTTCCAAAATATACATTTGTTTCCTTATTCTGAAAATATTATTATATTTTATTCAATTATTTTAAAACCCCTTAAGTTTGTTAATTTAACTAAACACCTCCCAAAAAAAAGTTTAGAAATTGACAAAAACATCTCCACTCACCCACATTTGCCAAATTCCAGCCACCACCGGATGGATCTAGTATAATGGCACCCTACCGGATGGATCTGGCCGGTAGTGCGTCGATATAGCCTTTTCCGGCCGATCCATCGTGGATGGCCGGAAAAGGCCAGATCTACGGCCAAAGATCTGGCCGTAGCTAGTTGTCAATGACGGCCAAGATATGGTCGTTGTTGACCATTAATGACGGCCAAATCTTTGGTCGTCGTTGACGACCAAACGCAACCAGATCTGGCCGTCAATGGCCAAATCTAGTCGTAAATTTGGCATTTTCCAGCTAGATCCACGACGGCCAAGATATGGTCGTTGTTGACCATCAACGACGGCCAAAGATGACCGAATATGGCCAGATCTAGTCATAAATTTGGCCTTTTCCGGTCAGGATCTGGCTAGAAAAGGCCATCTCGGTGCACGACTGGCCAAATCCAGCCAGTTGTGCACCGATACGGTGACTCCGGCCACTCTCCGGCGGTGGTGGCCGACTGCTGGTATTTAATGGGTGGGTGGGGGCGTTTTTGTAATTTTTAGTGTTTTTATTACCGGGGTGTTCGGTAAATTAACAAACCTAGGGGGTGTTTTTGTTAATTTTCAAATCATACCTCGATATTACCACCCAACTCTTACTTTTTCAAAAATACTATCCAAAATACTAAAACAAACGCACCCAATATTTTTGCTTGGAGATTTTCTGAATGAGCTTGTTTTAAAAATGACTCCTGTTTCCCTGTTTATATTTTGTCCCTGCCAATGGTTCCTGTAAAATGTGTGCTCTTTTCCATGTCAAAGGTTGTCACGATTCTGTGGAAAATGGATCATTTATAGGCATTAAATGTCCTGTCTATTTGAAGCTATTGTAATTAGTTTTTATCATCTGATAAATTGTAGTAGAAGCATAGAAATTTAGGTACGATCTCTAAGAACAGCTACGTGCAGTAGTTTTGATCCAAAAAAGCACATGCTGCACTTTGTTGTGCTTTATCTATTCCCGTGAAACGCTTTATATTTTTGTAGTATTACTAGTGTTATAATTCCATGTCACCTTTGGTTTTTTACTATCCCTAAAGTCTTGTGAAAAACATCTAGATATTGTTTCTCATGTAGTAGTAATAAATTTTCAATTGGTGTTTCAGGTCTATATATCATGCTGTTACAGATGCTGGAATATTGAGGTTTATGGTGGAGGTCTGCTGGGGTCCTATGCTGGCTGCATTCAGTGTGACTCTTGACCAGAGTGATGACAAACTTGCTACTTCACAGTGCTTACAGGGTTTTCGACATGCTGTGCATGTCACTGCAGTAATGGGTATGCAGACCCAGAGAGATGCTTTTGTTACATCTATGGCCAAGTTTACTTATCTCCACTGTGCTGCAGATATGAAGCAAAAGAATGTCGACACTGTAAAGGTAAGCATTTATCCAATATTTAATGATGAAATAAGGAAATCTCTTTCCATAGTTTTGTTATATGCATCAGAAATGTTTGCACATATGGCCTTTCTTTGATTGTACCAGAAAAACAAGTAATGTTGATTAAATGATCATGCATCATGCTTTTATACTTTCATTCATTGTTTCTGGTGATATTCCTGGTCATCTGAAAAATTGAAACACTTATGTTCAAGTAGTCGAAAGTATTCCAATGAATTTAACTTATAAATATGAGCGAAAATCTTACTCTAATGGGACTAGTTAGTACCTATATGTGGTCTTTCTATTGCTTTACATGTGTATTTACTTTGTGCAGGCAATAATAGCAATTGCCATTGAAGATGGTAATCATCTTCAGGAAGCCTGGGAACATATATTGACATGCCTCTCTAGAATTGAGCATCTTCAACTGCTAGGAGAGGGCGCACCAACTGATGCATCCTTTTTCTCTGGTTCTAATGTTGAAATAGATGATAGAACACAAAAATCTATGGGTTTTCCATCTCTGAAGAAAAAAGGATCTCTCCAGAATCCATCTGTGATGGCTGTTGTCCGAGGGGGTTCATATGACAGTACTACTGTTGGAGTCAATACCCCAGGACTGGTAACTTCAGAACAGATTAATCACTTTCTCTCAAATCTGAATTTGCTGGACCAGATTGGGAATTTCGAGTTGAACCATGTTTTTGCTCATAGCCAAAGGTTGAATAGTGAAGCGATAGTAGCTTTTGTAAAAGCACTGTGCAAAGTTTCTATTTCAGAGTTACAATCTCCAACAGATCCTCGTGTATTCAGCCTCACAAAATTAGTTGAAATTGCGTAAGATTCTTCACATTTTAGTTAAGTTTTATTTTTCTGACATGAATATCATCTGCTATAAACCTCATTGAATGATATATAAAGAAATATCATCTGCTGTAAGCCTCACGATTGTGATTGTGAACAGAATTGTCAGACAGGACTTCTATGTTTCAAAGACAATATGTTCTCTCTTAGAATGTGAATAACCTGCAACGGAGTTCAATCCGATAAAGTTTGTTGATTAGTGTATATGAGCTTCCTTGGTGCTTCTCTCTCATTCCACCTCCTCAGGAGTCAACATAGATTCATTGTAAATATATGTTTGACCCTTTTTGGTGATGAGTCATGTTATCTTTATTAACAGCATTGCTATTACTGCAGGCATTACAATATGAACCGCATCAGATTAGTTTGGTCCCGTATGTGGAATGTTCTCTCAGATTTCTTTGTGTCAGTTGGTTTGTCAGAAAATCTCTCTGTGGCAATCTTTGTCATGGATTCACTGCGGCAGCTCGCCATGAAATTCCTAGAGCGTGAGGAATTGGCAAATTACAACTTCCAGAATGAATTTCTGAGACCATTTGTGATTATTATGCAGAAAAGTGGTTCTACTGAAATTAAGGAATTAATTGTTCGGTGCATTTCCCAGATGGTCCTCAGCCGTGTTAGTAATGTGAAATCTGGCTGGAAAAGTGTTTTTATGGTATGTTAAAGAGTGCTGTTATAGATTTATGGTGTCTTACATGGTCTTAACTCACGTAGAAGACAGAAATAGTTGGTTTTGCTGGCGGCTTGAGTTGAATTTTTTTTTAAGTCATTAAAAATCACAGCTGAGACTTCCATACTTTAATATGTTGTTTTGATTTCTTAATGATTGATGAAATTTTGGAAATGAGGACTGGCTGGAACTGTAAACCCAGCTGATGAATTTGTTCTCTAGCTCATATTTAAATTAAAATCTAGCAAAGTTTTATTTAATTCTTCTATCAAAAGTTAATATATTTTAATTGTTAATGATTATGTAAAGGTTGAGAACCTAGACTCCATATAATATCTTCAACCATCATCATTTGTTATTAGTATAGGTGCTCACATGAGTAATTGAGGAGACTCTTGCATTACTTTTTTTGTGAAGTGATTAAGTGATTCAGCTTTATTCGTGGATTACATTTATTTGTTGCTAAGTATATTCTGCCCCTTTTCAGATATTTACGGCTGCTGCAGCTGATGAGAGGAAGAATATCGTCTTGTTGGCCTTTGAGACAATGGAGAAGATAGTGCGGGAATATTTTTCTCATATAACTGAGACGGAGACTAGAACTTTTACTGATTGTGTTAAATGCCTCCTGACCTTCACAAATAGCAGATTTAACAGTGATGTTAGCCTAAATGCTATTGCCTTTCTCCGGTTCTGTGCCGTGAAACTTGCAGATGGCGGTCTTGTCTCCAATGAGAGGAGTGGTTTTGATGGTTTATCCAGTTCTGAAGCAAATGAGGGTGCTTCAGAGGTTCAGAGTTTGACCAATAAAGATGATCATGCATCTTTTTGGATTCCTTTGCTCACAGGTAACCTACTTTCATGTTTTGCTTCCTATCAAACACCATACCTTCTACATGGCAATACTTTTTTTAAGGATGGAAACAGCTACTTCAGTGGTTACTTGCATCTTAATAGAAGTAAATTGATTTTGGTCACATACACCTAACATATACCGTCAGACTCTACCCCATCAGTTCTCTCTTCCATTAAGAACAACTGCACATGAATGGTTCTGAGTTATATAATCAAACAGAACTTTCCCCTCTTCCTTCTGCCTTCTTCTATGCACTGCTATTCAGACATTATATGCCTGTCTGACGAGCCATACCTGAATACTCCTTACTGAAGATCATCACATACAAAATACTGGAGTTGGTGTTACCTGTTGCTTTTTCCTCATTTCTATGATTAGCCATTGCAGCCTATTCCATGCGTGGTTGGGCATTGGGGCATTCTTTACCTTTTTTTGAGGATAACACATGATTTGGAATAGTCCATTGTCTAGTGCAGATTTGTTTGAAATGGAAGAAAGAATAATTTAGATAAGCGGTACTTGAGTTAGGGGTGATACCAACTCCCAAAGTTTGAAGGGTCTAAGATAGTGCAGAGAAATTTAGGGAGTTATTTAAGGTATTAGTATAGATTACTTATGACATGAGTTTAAGAAGATTGATCTGCCTTCTCTTTTTCAGAATTTTAAAATGTGGGTGTTTCTGTTTCAGGTTTGGCCAAACTAACATCTGATCCCAGATCAACCATCAGAAAGAGTTCTTTGGAAGTGCTTTTTAATATTCTAAAGGACCACGGTCATCTTTTCCCTCGGCCATTTTTTATTGGTGTTCTTTCTTCTGTTATTTTTCCGATATTTAATGTTGCAAGTGACAAGGGAGACATTCTTGTAAAAGATGACCAGGACTCACCAGCTTCACAATCTACACAACCTGAAGGCAATACATGGGATTCTGAAACTGCTGCTGTTGCATCACAGTGTCTGGTTGATCTATTTATCTGTTTCTTTGACGTGGTGAGGTCTCAACTACCACATGTGGTATCGATTTTGACAGGATTTATTAGAAGTCCTATTCAGGGTCCTGCAAGCACTGGAGTTGCTTCATTGTTGCATTTGGCTCGTGAACTGAGAAGCAAACTTTCGGAAGATGAATGGAGGAAGATTTTTGTGGCTTTGAAGGAGGCTGCAGCAATAACATTGCCAAGTTTCATGAAGGTCTTAAGAACCATGGATGACATTGAGATTCCAGACGGTTCTCAAAGTGATGCCGACGTTGAAATGAATTCTGAACATGGGTCGATCAATGATGATATTGAGGATGATAAACTACAGACTGCAGCATATGTGGTCTCAAAAATGAAGTCTCATATCTCCGTGCAGCTACTCGTTTTACAGGTCCTCTCTCTTTCCATTCCATGTTGTTCTGTTCTCTATACTCTCTCCCATTCATGTATTTATATGCATGCATTTTTAGAATTATTTTAGCATCGCATTAATGAGAAATAACCATTATATTGCAAATACCCTTTGTGTTATCTGTTGGACATTCAGTGACTTTGGACAAAATTTTGTTAAGGTAGATTTGTTTGATATTTGATTTGCTACATAGATCTTATTTTCTTTTATCATTTCAGGTCGCAAGTGAGTTGTCCAAGATTTGCATACAATCCTTGTCAGCAGCCAACATCAAGATCCTTCTCAACATGTTTTCCTCTGTTGCCTCGCATGCCCATCAATTGAACTCAGAGACGATCCTGCAGAAGAAACTGCAGAAAGTGTGCTCTGTATTGGAACTGTCCGACCCTCCGGTGGTTCATTTTGAGAACGAGTCATACCAAAATTACCTCAACTTCCTCCAAGGTTTGCTTAGAAACAATCCATTTGTGAGTGAGATGAACATAGAATCGCATCTTGTAGAAGTTTGTGAAAAAATACTGCAGATATACTTAAACTGCACAGTGTCTCAGCCGAAACCAGGTAAACAGCCACGGGTGATACATTGGATTCTTCCATTGGGTTCGGCAAAAAAGGAAGAATTGGCAGCTAGGACGTCGTTGGTGGTGTCAGCATTGCAAATGTTGAGTGGTTTGGAAAGGGATTCGTTTAGGAAGTATGTCTCAAATTTCTTCCCATTGTTGGTAGATCTTGTGCGGAGTGAGCATAGCTCAAGAGAAGTTCAACATGTTCTTGGCAACATGTTCAAATCTTGTATAGGCCCAATAATAATGCATTGAATTTATTCATATTACACACACGTGTATCATCATCAACAAGAAGTCAATTCACAGTTTTGATCTTTTTTCTAATTAGTTATATTAAAGAGCCAATAAATCATCCTTTTTTTTTTTTTTTTTTTTTTTTNGTTGGTAGATCTTGTGCGGAGTGAGCATAGCTCAAGAGAAGTTCAACATGTTCTTGGCAACATGTTCAAATCTTGTATAGGCCCAATAATAATGCATTGAATTTATTCATATTACACACACGTGTATCATCATCAACAAGAAGTCAATTCACAGTTTTGATCTTTTTTCTAATTAGTTTTATTAAAGGGCCAAAAAAGCATCCTTTTTTTTTTGTTTTTTTTTTCCTCTTTTCATTTCTTGGAAAAATTAGTCGATTTGAATCCAATTTTTAGACCCTGTTAGTTGGACATTATTGTATTGACTAAAGATGTTGGGGTTTGTGGGTTAAATTCTCTGCACAAATTTGGTATTTAAACACTAATACAAGAACCCATTAGACAGCCTAATTGATGATTGGGTGGAGAAATACCCAACCCATTAGAAATGTTATGAATCTGCTCCTAAAATACCAAACATGAAGCCCACTAAAAACAGCCTTACGATTTTGGGATTTGAGCAGATCTGGTGATGGTCAGAAGAGTTATTGTTCCTGTATTTGTTTGTTTTATCAAACTTTGTTTTTAGTTAATTGGAATAGTTGAATGGTTTTTGACTTGAATTAAGTTAAGATAGAGATTTTGTTAAATAACATAGCATTTTTATTCTCATTTTTGACGGAGTTCGTTCAATTAATAAATATGCAAATACTTGGAACCCTTCAAACCTTTTTCATCCAAAATTTCACTTAAATTCTATGGCTTTTGATATTATATAAGGCCTTAGTATTACAAAAGATGGACATAGTTGAGAGTTTGTGCACACCTCAATTAATCATTTGGGGTCTTAAAGTTAATGATTGGGTAAATCTCCAGTAACCATCTCTATTAACAGTCGAGGTAGATTAAACTTAAGACTTTTTGAATAATACATTCAAGAGTCATTATGTGATACAAAATAATATTCTAGGAGTTATGATTTCCATACTGGAATTGATTTTTCTTATGAATCAAAATTTCCTAGAACTTGGACTTTTTTTCATCGTACCTCTAAATTCATTATAACAATCCAGAACAATAAAAATACCCCGTTGAGTGCTATTGGAGGAAAGAATCATGATATAATATTAAGGAAAGAAATGAATTGGCACCAACCATAAGCTTTTGACCATATATATATTTGTAGTGCTACCGATGAAACTCCATTATATTGGAAAATTAAATTAATATCTTTTTCATATTTTTCATATGTACTTCATATTCTTATAAATAAACCCATATAATTAAATAATATTTTGTATTCAACTATTAAAATGCATGACATTTGGTAACTTAAAATGGGAAGAAATTAAAATAATAATAATAATAAAGAGCGTTCTTGTAAAATTTCAATAATAAAAATGATAGATTAATTTTTATTATGAATTATGAAAGAAGTGTAAAAAATATGCAATGCCTCAATGAAATCTGTTTTCTTCCTAACCACCAACTCAAATTAAACATGATGAAATTTACCTTTTTTTTTACATTATTCAAACCACATAATAATGAATCCCTTGGCTATTGTATCACTTTTTATTTTATGTTATTTTAGAATACTTAACAATTATAATCAATATGTATGAACCAACTTATACACAGCTTGACTAATCCTTAGAAAAGAGCCGATAATAATTTTGTTCATGTTATTTTCCAATACATTCATTATGAACTATGATATTTCCTGATATCTACACATTTAACTTGTCAAAAATACTTATTTGTAAAATTAAGAAATACTTTTTTTAATATATATTAGAACTTTATATTTTTGTGGTTTTAAATGTACGCTCATCTAGGTAGATATATTCTTGTATCCCCAATAATGTAACGTTGTATTAGTGTTACATGTGTATGCTATGATTAATTGCTCCATGATGCGTACCTCAAAATTATGTATCAATACTTTAATTTGTTATGATTCATATGGGGGACGGAGTTTCATAGAAACAAAGGGGGCAAGTGCCCTCCCTCCTGCTATCTTTTATTCTTTTGAATTTTTTTATATTTTAGTACTATATACTCAATAAATGTCCTTAGTGGCACTTAAATAAAATATTTGTTAGAAAGAATAAACATTTAAATTAATGAATTTTAATATATTAATCTTGTATTATTTATATTAAGTGTCTCACAACTAAGAAAAATTGAGTCAATTAAATATATGCAAATTTTCAAACCCATCATCTTTAAATTATTACTAGGGCTGTTATCGAGCGAGCGAGCCGAGTTTTTGGCTTAACGAGCTCGGCTCGTGAGAAGGGAGGAGAAATCGTGTTCGAGCCGAGCCTCTGATTTTCTGGCTCGGTTCGGCTCGTGAAGGAAGGAGGGGAATTCGAGCCTGGTTCGCGAGCCAGCTTAACGAGCGAGTTCGAGTGGCTCGCGAGCGATAAAAAACAATTTAAAAAAAAAAAAAAAATTAAGAGCAGATTTCAATATTTTTGAATTCAAAATACCCTTGTTTGTTTGTATGCATGTAGAAAAAAAACCAATGGTCAATAAGATGTATCTGTTATATTGCCCATTTGGCTTGAAACTCACGCAGGCTCACATTCCAAATAACTTTTTCGAGCAAAATACATGCAGGCTGCAGCTTTACAAATGTGAAATGTCACTTCTTAAGCTAAAGTCTAAAACAACCTAACTCTTATCAGATCTACGAGCAATATCGCACACATACCTTTACAAGCAACACCTTCAGCAACTTTGACGATGGCGACGGCGACAACGAGATGGGTTTGACAGTGACAAAACAAAAGGAAAACATGGAGCGTCCAGACGTGGGCGAGATTTGAAGAGATAGATACAACAAGTATGCGATAACACTGCGATAACACCACGATGAAGCATATGGGTTTGAGTCGTTTGACGACGATGAGGAAAGACACCGGAGCGGCTGAAAAGTTGGTTGAAATTCTTTACTCGTTTTGGGCTTACAGTAAACAGTGGTGGAGTCGCGGTTTTTAGGATTGCAAAATGGGGGGATCTTTGTCATTTTTGCAAACCTTTTTCTTTGAAAATTTTAGTTTAATCCTACATACTGTAAAAAAACCCTAATATGCCCCTACGAATTCGAGCGAATGCGACTCGCGAGCCTAACGAGCCGAGCCTAGTTAGGCCTGAAATCGGCTGTTTCCTCTCACGAATCGAGCCGAGCTGGCTCGAACACAGTCGAGTCGAGCTGTTAAAGAGCCAGACTTGAGTCGAGTCGAGCCGGCTCGCGAGTGGCTCGATTCGTTAAACAGTCCTAATATACATTTAAAACTAAAAGTCTTTCTAACCACACTCCAATAATTTAATTTTTTTTTTCTTATGAAGTGTCCTTTTCAACATATAGTTTGGCTGTCACTACATTATTATTTTCTCCTTCAAGAAACATGAAATATAAAAGAGTAAACGACATGGTCCCACGAGGTTTCGGAAATGGAAGTTCCCATTCTAGATTTCTCATCCCTAATTAACATGTTAGTAAATTTTGACTTTTGATAGAGCCAAAGATGCTATTACCATATTGCCTTAACTTTTGATTTCATTGCCACCTAACCACCATTGCCATCACCATCCAGCCACCACCACCACCTTTCAACACCCTCAGATTGAAACCCCAAAGTACCATCACCATCGCATCCCTCTATAGGCAAAGGGCCAGAGTAGCACTTGGTTGGGGCAATTTATCGAGTAGGTTAGGGGTGTTGTGCAGGCTTGGGTGTGGGCGAAGGGGAGATTAGTTGAGTTTCTGCGTGAGGGAAGATATGCATTCAATCACAAACAAACACACTCCAAACAAAAATCAAATTGAACCAACTCTGATTCAATCATCAACCAACTCAATCAATCTGATTCAATCAAAAATCAAACACAATTGCAAGCAACGAGATTGAGTATGATTGGCATGACAAGGCTAGACAGCGAGGTTCAACCGGTAGGTTGATGGTGGCGGTGTGGATGGCTTGGTGGTTGTCAGGCCTCAGCGTGGGGTCGTGCGATGACCAAATCCAACGCCCTCGGAGCCTATTGAAGAAGGGAAAAGAGGGATTCGAAGAAGGAAATGAGGGATAAGAGGGAAGAGAAAGAAAGAGAAGGAAGAGAAGAAGAAATAGAGGAGGAAAAAAGGCAAAAAAGAAGAAAAAAGAGGCGGCAGTGGTTGGTTGCAGGTGGTATCAAATCGTGTATCGAAAACCTAATTTTTTGAATCGTGTATCGCGTATCGTTGTATGTAAGATACGCATTTTTCAAACAAATAATAAAATAATCAAAATTTTCTAAAAATTAATATAATCCCCAGATTAATTAAAGAATTTTGGTATTTTGACTTTAAATTACGGTATACATATCAAATTAATCACAAAATTCCAAGATCAATGTCAATATCTAATCTCCACTTATATATTATTATCATGTAAAGTGGGCAAATAATATTCTTCTTCACTTTCTTCATGCAAAATAGGTAAATTTGGACAGGTTTTAGTGAATCGGGTTGAGTGACCTGGTTTCAACCCGAATTTTTTGGACTTTGGCCCAAATTAATAAAGTCGTATCGATTTATATTAATATTTTAAGGATAAGAACGGATACGTATCGATCGTATGATACCTATAACGTATCGAATGGTGTAGGAACACTCTCTGATACGTATCGTTGGTGACTGTATCGAATCGTATCGTATGATACGTATCGGGTATCGTAGGATACTAACAACCATGGTTGGGTGTGTTAGGTTGTTAACCAAATATGAGAGAGAGGGTTGGGATGGCTGTGGTGGTTTGGAATAGGGTGGGTTCAATGACCATTTACCCTTGGACAATACTACATATAAACCTACTTTACAAACTTTTTCTCCACAAACGCTCGCATAACAGCTCGCAATTGATCAGTTTGCAATGGATACTGTTTGCCCAATTGCGAGCTGTCACGTCGAGATTATAAGAAAAAGTTTGTAAGATTAGATTGTGAGCCAATTTTTATTGTTTACCCTTCAATCATTACATTAAACAATTTTCTGTCAATTTAAGGATGAGAATATGGAATTTATGAAGCAAGGCGTGAGAACTTGCCATTTCACGAAACATTGGATGGAAACATGTCGTTTACTCAATATAAAATAACCTCGTTGAGGTTTGATTAAATAACAAAAATCTTCCTAGGGTTTCTTAAACAACAAATTTTTTTCCGTAAATTCTAATAACACACTAACATAGTTAATTGGATTTTCATTATTTAAGATAACACAAAGAGACTTTTGTTATTACATCAAAGGGGGTTAATGTCTCTAACTCTATATTATATTTGATAATATATAATTGTATATGAATATAATTAGTAAAATGTAGATATTGTAAGAAGAATAGGTTGGTGGTTAATGGTTGAAACTTGGAATAAAACCATAGTGAAAACAACCTAAAGTACCCCTTTGAATCAAACACAATATGAAGAAGATAATGACCTTATTATTCTATTATCATAAATAACAAACAAAATAACATAATAATAATAATAATAATAATAATAAATAGAGTAAACGACTTTTTCCCACCCAAGGTTTGCCTTAATGTTGTTGTCACCCAGAAAGTTTCAAAACACCACTTTCTCACCTAGCATGTATATTCCTTCCTTACTACCCAAATCCGATTTTGGTGGCGAAAATTCTCATCGTCACCACCATTTAAACCTTCATTCTCCTCTATACAAAATCCCTCCCACTTTGACACCTGATTTCTCACTGATTTTCAACCATTGAAAAGTTCAGGTTTTTTTTTCTTGGCTGATTTTCGACTAATTTCGACGACGAATATTCAATCGATCACCATCATTCGATTCACCTGTCTTCACTATATAAAAACCCTGTTATCCTAGCTCCTGATAACTTGTTGAACGATGGCTAAGAAAATGAAGTATATTTTAGGCATTAACAGAATATAAACACTGGGTGGAAAAGTGATATTTTGAAATTTTTTAGTTGGGAAATTGTATTAAGGCAAACATTGGGTGGGAAAAAGTCGCTTACTCTAATAAAAACAAAGAAATGCAAGACAACAAGCACTCGCATTATTTACCTTTGACTAACTAAATCTCAACTCTCCCGCCCAACGCAACACCCCCTGTGGGCCCCTTCTCTTCCCCCATTTCTATAAATACTGGCTTCCTTAACTCTCGCTTCTTCAACAACCAACTTCACATTAAAATCATATATCAAGTCAATTTCTTACCGTTTCCCTTTTCTTCTCCTCTCCGACCGCCGTCTATGGAGGCTCGCCGGCGATCTCTTCACTCCTCCAAAACCTTCCAACATGAGCCTACTGCCAAACCTTCCCCCGATGCCGTTTCTCTTCCTTTGTACGTAACAAATGCCGTCTTCTTCACCCTCTTCTTCACTGTCGTTTATTATTTATTATCTCGTTGGCGCGAGAAGATCCGTACATCCACGCCTCTTCATCTCGTCACCCTCTCCGAGATGCTCGCAATTGTCGCCTTCTTCGCTTCCTTTATCTACCTCTTGGGATTCTTTGGTGTCGGGTTTTTTCACTCCTTTATTCTTAAAGAGGATGACGACAGCAACGACGTCCTTCTCAAACACGATTCTAGAAAGTTAACTCCTTGCGCCCAAGCTCTTGATTGTACTGTTTTTACTTCACCGTCACCACCTCTTGTTGCTAACGAAGACGATGAGGATATAATTAAGTCAGTTGTCGACGGAACGACGCCGTCTTATGCGTTGGAATCGAAATTGGGGGATTGCAAGAGGGCCGCTTCGATTAGGCGTGAGGCTTTACAGAGAATCACGGGCAAGTCTTTGACTGGTTTGCCCTTGGAGGGGTTTGATTACGGCTCCATTTTAGGGCAGTGTTGTGAATTGCCGGTTGGTTATGTTCAGATTCCTGTTGGAATTGCGGGGCCTTTGTTGCTTGACGGAAAGGAGTTTTCGGTTCCCATGGCGACCACTGAAGGTTGCTTGGTGGCTAGTACTAACAGAGGTTGTAAAGCTATTCATTTGTCCGGGGGGGCGAGTAGTGTTCTGTTGAAGGATGGGATGACTAGAGCTCCTGTTGTTAGGTTTGGTAGTGCTAAACGAGCTGCTGAGTTGAAATTCTTCCTGGAGAATCCCGCCAATTTTAAAAATCTATCTGCACTTTTTAACAAGTCTAGCAGATTTGGCAGGCTTCAAAGTATTAAATGTGCAATTGCCGGTAAAAATCTCTACTTGAGATTTACTTGCAGTACTGGTGATGCTATGGGGATGAACATGGTCTCTAAGGGTGTTCAAAATGTTCTGGAATTTCTCCAGAATAAGTTCCCTGACATGGATGTTATTGGCATTTCTGGTAAGAAGATTTACATTCAACATATTCAATACCTTTATTGTAATTACCCCATTTGTAGTTGGTAAACATGTTTTGAATAATGGTCAGGTAACTTCTGTTCGGATAAGAAGCCGGCAGCTGTGAACTGGATCGAGGGACGGGGAAAGTCTGTGGTTTGTGAGGCTACAATTAAGGGTGATATTGTGCAGAAGGTATTGAAGACTAGTGTGGAAGCTTTGGTGGAGCTTAACATGCTCAAGAACCTTACTGGTTCTGCTATGGCTGGAGCTCTTGGTGGCTTTAATGCCCATGCCAGTAATATTGTTACTGCCGTTTACATAGCCACTGGTCAAGATCCCGCTCAAAATGTGGAGAGTTCTCACTGTATCACCATGATGGAATCGATTAATGGTGGCCAGGACCTTCACGTTTCTGTCACAATGCCTTCTATTGAGGTAATTTGATCTACCTTAGAATTTTAACAATCAGATTCGTCAAAACTTAGTTTAAGTTGCAGTCTAGAAAAGTTGGTTTCACCTAGCTCGGAGAGTAAAAATATTGAATTTTGGATTATCAGTTTGTGGAATCTGCTAGAAAGTCATATCTCTTTCATAGCCTCAATAAGTGAATTGTTAAAGCATGTATCGTGTTAAGGTCTGAGTTCTCACTGTTTTAACGCTGTGCTTCATCAGGTTGGTACAGTTGGAGGTGGCACCCAGCTTGCATCTCAGTCAGCATGCTTGAACCTACTAGGGGTCAAAGGTGCCAGCAAAGAAACACCAGGAGCAAACGCAAGGCTGCTGGCTACCATTGTAGCTGGTTCTGTTCTTGCAGGGGAGCTGTCTCTCATGTCTGCTCTTGCAGCTGGACAACTTGTTAAGAGCCACATGAAGTACAATAGATCAAGCAAAGACGTTACTAAGGTTTCTTCGTAGGCAATAATAAATCGTTCAGAAATGGAAATTCTCAGTTCTGGTGTAGAAAGGCATAATGAAGGATATCGATGAATCTTCAAGTAGGCAAATAGGGAGGGATGACTGGCAGCATAAAGGAAATTGTTTCTCTGTGTTTCGTGGTTTTTTTTTTTTTTTTCTTGGTTTCAGTCATCCTTAGTATCCGCAGATTCTGTTCTGTATGATGATAATGACAACCACGATGTGAAAGCTTTTAGTTCATTTCCTTTCTGGAATTACTTGACGTCATAAGTCAAATCTAGTACTTCAATCAATTGTACTATCTATTTACTCATGAATGAATACAACCTTTAAAGCATGATTACGAGAATTGAGATTTCCACAAGTTCTCCTATAGTCATCACAAAATTTCCACATGGAAATTGTGTTTGTTGTTAGAGTTCTGTTGTGAAATTTGCAGGTACTGATTGGGGAAGCTTGGGAAACTGATTTTCATGTTAAAGTGGGGTTAGGACTAGGAGGCTGCCACCTACTCTGGAAAATATCTACTTGTCTGGCGCTCTTTTCCTGACCAAATGTTGCTGGCGACGTCAACTGAGAGTATGCCCGTTCTCTGATCTGATCTCTTTTATTTTTGGTTTTGTTCAATTCCAGGTGAAAAATAGTGTCGGTAGGAAAGCAGAATCTTTTTCTTTTTCATAAGTTGTGAAAGTTCATTTGATTTTTCATGCTGTGTCCAGTATTTGACCTATGCTTATTTTCACAGATAGTCTACATAGTTTTGTGTTCATCAAGAACCTTGGGGTTGTATTGGACTTATAAAGAACTGCGCCGATGCCCTCTGTTTCTGCAAATGCTGTGGTTTTATGTTGTAACTTGCAGTTCGCAATCTTTCATTACTAAACTGATAATTATAGTGAATGGCTCAGCTTTTACATTGTGAAGAAGTGTGTCATCTTTTCAAGCATGAATCTCAACTGATAAAAGCATAAAAGTTCTTCAGAAATTGAGAGAGATAAAAGGAACCCATCTTTGAGGAAGAAAACCAAATAAACAGAACGAAAAGCAAAGATTTTTACGCATCCCTCCCCAGACAGAACACAAACACAGCGATGGGAAACCTACCAGTTTCTGCACATCATCATCAGTTTAAGTACACAAAATTGTATACAGGAACTGCATTTAGGCGTCGAAAGTAGATAGTTTTAAATTTATTTTCTTGGAAGAAGAAACCATTTTAGAGTTTGAATAAGTTTTCCAGATTTTGCACTTAAAATTGAATTTCTTAGAAGAACAAAATGATGTGGTTTGAGAGGCCCATAATTTAACTTTTAGAAAGAGATTGTCTGGTAGTAAGGTCTCAATCCAAAGAAGCAAAAGACCAAGATCATGTTTTTTCCTAAATAATTATAGTATGTGCAAATATTGTAATTATTTTATAACTTGTTCTATGCAACAACTACAAATTGATTTTCAATGTTAATAATTTTCAGTTTTTAACCCTAAGGGGTTAGTCTGATAGTCAAGAAGATTTGTTCTATTCATTGACTTCCTGGATTCGAATCACTTTAAAGTTATCTACCATATTTGTGATTTACCTTGAAACATTTTAATGGAGTCTAGGGATTAATTGAGATACGTCCAAGCTAATTCAGACACTTTGGTCCTATAAAAAAAAAAAAAAAATTCAGTTTAGTGTTAACAATTTTTATTTATGGTTATAATATACTTCAATTTTCAAATATTTCCATGTTTAAAATGTATTATAAATTTTGTTGCACATTATATATTTCAAATATCATGTTATATATATATATAGAACACCTAAATATGTTCACTAATGTTAAATATTAAAAATATTTTATGAGATTCATTAACATTTATCTTGAAATACAAACCTTACTTTATCTTTTAATAATATAGTATGCAAAATCAAGGTTTTGGTTTGGCAAACGGGTTTGCGTGATTCAACTCATTCACTACATGACCATAATTGTATAATATATAGTTGAAGCTCACTCTGTAGTCTATCACTCAACATTAACATAATTTAGACTAGTCTAATCAGTTTGAGATTCCGCAAAATTAAACTCATTATTAACTTTGTATTTAATTATATAATATGTGTCTTATCATAATAAAGAAGTTAATTAATCTATAGTTAATTAATTAGTCCACCTTTACATCATCGAGCCGACTTTATTGTTTTAATTAAATTTCAATTATCATTCCAACAAATTGTATATCACTAAATAGTCTGATAATAAAATAATTAAAAAAAATATTATAAACTCTTAAGTTTGAATCTATTTGAAACCCTAATAAGAGTGATCACCTAAACACTTATTTAAGTAATAATTTTAGGGTTTTAAATGATTAGTTTATGTGTGTACAAATTGATTGAAGATCCTCAACTATGGGAAAAAAAAAAAAAAGTAATTAAATCTATAAATTAATGTCATTGTCATCTTTTCTTAATATGAATTTTAATTATCAATCAAACCAGTTGTATATATTTACGGAGGTGATGTCTTGGGAATACGACAATTAATTAAGAAAAGATTATTTAAAATTAATTAATTAATTAATGGAGGTAATCACATGGGGTTTGTTGCTGATAACTTTTATAATAATAAGTAAATTGATACTGTAGCACTTAATTTGTCGTGTAATGCAGCTTTTGATTATTTTAATTTACAAGTGGCTTTCTTTTAGCTCCCGCTTGAACATGAAATTATGATTTAATGAACCCTGGCCGTCCCTTAATTATTTTTCAATTCACATCTTCATTATGCATGCACTAATTTTTAATAAATTCTAACATCGTTACGATCCTATATCACCACTATTCTTTTCTTTGATCATTACTTATCAAAATTTTTCAAACTCTACTCCGTCAATTTCGTTCATCGTTGGCAATCGAGCGATTAGAGTTTGTGCAGCTGCTCCTCCTAAATCAAATTTCAATCAATCCCAACCACCAAAATTTAACTTTCAACCACCAAAATACATGACTTCCCCTTTTTAAAAGCCCAAATAGTTTAGATCGAGTTAACTTTTTGTTCGTTGTCGAAAATTGATATTTTAAAAGTTTGTAGGTGAAAAAATGTTATTAAAGCATTATTTAGGTGGAAAAAGTTGTTAACTCTAAATAACACGAAGAATCAAAGCCCGGCACGATAAAAAAGAAAGAACAAAAAAAGAAAAAGAAAAAGAAAAAAAGGTAAGAATTTAATGAAGAACAATATGTTCATGTGCTTATATAATTATAATTAGATAATATTATAGTCCATAGTAAAAGCAAAAGTATGATGGTTGCATCCACTAAACAGTACTAAACATCCAATCAATGTTTTTTTCTTTTTGGTTAATATAAATTATAGATTAGTGATGCAATTGCAACCTTTTTGTTGGCTCAAGAAAGGTGGTTAAATTTATATTAATTATTAATTAATTAATAATATTATCCAAGCCCCAAGCCCCAAGCCCCGAGCCCAACCTATATTAATTAGTGGACACCATTTGACTAATCCTTAATTTATGAGTAATGCTACAGTCACCTAAGGTTGCGTATCAAATTTGTACACTGAATAACGTGATAAAATCTTGACCGTTGATTCATTATCAGTTAATATTAGTTAACGGTCAAGATTTTGTCACGTCATTCGGTACACAGATTTGGTACGCAACCTTCGATAGCTCTATCATTTTTCTTAATTTATTACAACCAAACTAACTATTTAAATTTGTATGTATACAATAATACATAAAAGCTATCAGATGATCAAGTTGTTTAATTACTTACTTATCCCTCAACCCTAGTGACCGAAATATGCATTGCTTGGGCCACCTTCAAATAACATCTTAACTAGTTGAAGATTATGTAGTACTAATGATCAAAATTAACTACTTTTGGACGACCGAGATAGGGACTCTTAAATATATTATTCAAGAGATACTGAGTTCGAGTCTCTCTTTGATTGCTAATAGGGGTAGCCACTTGTTATGAGGGTTCGATAAAGACTCTTGAATGTATTATTCAAGAGGTGCTAAGTTCAAGTTTTTCTTAGGTTGTTAATATGGATAGCCACTTGTCACTGGAACTCTTACGTGACTGATAATTCTAGGATTTTGAGGGATTAGTTGAGCTTTATGTAAGCTGGTTCGAACACCCCCGGTCATAAAAAAAAAAAAAAGATCAAAATTAATCACTCAAAGACTTATATTAAAAGCCTCTTAATTAGCAATAATATGAATTATTAGGTGGTGTTGGGGAAAGCGAGGTTGGGATGTTAAGACTAGAGTGGTATGAATGAGTATGGGAGGAATGAAAGGTGGTAGTCCATTGTACGGAAAAGAGGGAGGCCTTTTATTGCAGAACAGAAGAAGCTGGAGCTTGAAGATGAAGATGATGATGATCTAATATGTAGAAAGTGAAGTTATGGATTGATGTAGTAGTCTAGTAGAAGTAGAAGGAGAGTGTTGATGAGATAAGATTGAGAGCAAGTCCCGATGTCCCGACATCTCTCACGTGCCTCACATGCTTGCCCCATGGCTTTCTTTCATGCTTTCCTTATTCCAGTGGCCCTCCTTAATTACCACATTTAATTAATTTCTCCATCAATCACTAGTTGATTACTACAAATTTCCTATCTTATATATACCTTCACTTGAACCCTCCATTCTTTTTCTTCTTCAAGCTATTTAATCATCTATATAAAAGCGATCCCCGTCTACTCCTCTATGTTTTTTTTTTTTTTTGGCTAAACCACACAATATACATAAGTAACATTCATGGATGATAACAAACTATATATAATATAAAATAAAAAAAGTAGTGTTCTTGGAAACCACCAAAAAATCCTAAATAATTCATCACGATTGGGTGACATGATGGTAAAAGAGCAAAAAGAGATTCCATAAACTGAGTTTAAGTCTCCCCAAGCGTTAATATGAGTGGCCAAAACATCATAAATAAACTACCTCTGGGTGATCAAGCAGTTCGATAAGGACTTTTAGGTGTATTACTCAAGAGATTCTGAGTTCGAATCTTTCCTTGATTGCTAATAGGGGTAACCACTGAAGTTCTTCCCCGGTCGGTAGTTCTAGGATCCTGGATGATTAGTTGAAGTGCGCATAAACTGATTTGGGCACCTTCGGTCATTAAAAAAAAAAAAAAAAAATTATAAATAATAAATATGAGAAGTAGTGGTTGGTAGAATTAGAGAGGTGATGTGGAAAGATTAGTCATTAATTAATTAGTTGATTAGAGTAATTGGGCTGACTAAATTGACTCATGATGAATTTAGTTTTAATTAATTGCATAAATACTAAGTTTGTTTTATATATATATATATATATATATAGATGGATTGATTAAACAAATTAATAATGCATGAAAAATTGATATATGCCTTCATAGTCACGAAAGCATGCTCCTTTATTTTTAGCTTTTCAATTAAAAGTATTACCTCTCTCTCTCTCTCTGTGCTTTCCACTTTTTTTTTTACCTCTTTATATTCCTCACTTTGAATCCAATCCATTCAAACCTTGGTTTTCAGACATTCAAACTGGCTCATTGATTTTCAGAGAACCAAAACTAAAAAGAAATTACCACTACTATATATTAATATATATAATAACATATAGTTTACATTATTGATTATACTAATAGATATCTTTTCTTCTTATATATTTAATCACTGTTCAGATAGGTTTCTGGGCTTTGTTTTTCTTTGAAGTTTCTGCAGCAAGCCATCCTCCCTCCATCATCTCCACAAATCTGGATCTGATTAGAGAAGTATTTTTAATTAAGCTATTGATTTTTACCAAGTTTTAATGCATTTTGATCGTATCAGAGATATCACAGTGAAGAGAAAGAAACTGTTTAAACAAATTTACAAGTCATCTCACTAACACTATACCAGTAGTGTGCTGTATTAGGCAATTCTGGGTTTGCATCTTTCTATATATCTTGTGCATATTTGTTGAAGAAAACCGTTTATATTTTCTCACAGATCTTCCTTTGTATAAAGGAGAGGTGAAATTCTAGTTTCACAGTTTGAAAACTTTGCTTTGCTTTTTTTTTTTTTTTTTTTTGGGTTATTTATTTCTGAGCTTGAAGAAAAGATCGATATATTGGCAATGTCTGGGTTGGAACCGAGTCCAGGTTCTCGCTATGTTCACCAGCTTCTGCAGCTCCAAAACCAGACGGATGCCAGAGAATCACCGGAGCAAGAACAAAGAAGCAGTCATGATTCCGATGCAGCAGCCACCAGTTCAGGTGGAGGAGGCACTGGTTCCGGCCGCAGGCCCCGTGGGCGTCCCTCGGGTTCAAAAAACAAGCCCAAGCCACCAATTATCATCACTCGGGACAGTCCAAACGCGCTTAGATCCCACGTTCTTGAAATTTCAGCTGGCTCAGACATAGTTGATGTTGTGTCAAACTACGCTAGGCGCCGTGGACGGGGTGTTTGTGTCCTCAGCGGAACGGGAACGGTTACTAATGTGACGTTGAAGCAGCCGGCTGCTCCAGCCGGGAGTGTGATAACACTACACGGGCGGTTCGAGATTTTGTCCCTCACGGGGACGTCACTGCCACCTCCGGCGCCGACAGGAGCGGGTGGCTTGACTATATATCTGGCGGGTGGACAGGGACAAGTGGTGGGAGGGAGCGTTGTGGGGCCTTTGATGGCTTCAAGTCCGGTGGTTTTGATGGCGGCATCATTTGCAAATGCAGTTTATGATAGGTTACCACTTGAGGAAGAAGAATCACCAGGGCAGGTTCAGCCAACTGTTTCCCAGTCATCGGGAGTGACAAGTGGTGGAGGGCAATTGGGCGATGGAGGAAACGGCGGAAGTAATTCCGGTGGAGGTGTTCCTTTCTATAATTTGGGAGTGAATATGGGAAATTATCCTCCTTTCCCTGGTGATGTTTTTGGTTGGGGTAGTGGCACTGCAGCTGGTAGTTCTACAAGGCCACCATTTTAATTGTAAGTTTGAAGAAGAACAGCAGAAGAAGAATAAGGAGAAATCAAATTAAACTTGTCACTGAGAAACGCTGTAGAGATCATAAAGTCCTCTAAAATTAAAGCTAAATGAAGAAATTTTAAATAGGAATACTGAAGATCATGTACGTAGGGTTGAAGCTTCTGAATCAGTAAGTTCCAAATTCATATGTACAAAATATTATTCTGACATTTTTAATTTTGTTTATTTTCTGTTGATGATCTATATATATATAGCCTCTGCACCAATGTCTTCTTCTTCTTCTTCTACCAGTACCGCATTTATACATAACTCTTATCATTTTATATTTTGGTTTTGTAATCCTCTACGCAGTAGCAGTAACAGTAGCTCCACTTTGCCCTGTGCTGACTAAACGTTACAGAAGAAGAAGGGCTATAGGAAAGGAAAGTTCTAATGTCAGTTACGAAATGGCCTGGTAGAATTGAACACTGTTTCTCAGTCAAATCTCTTTTGTTGTTCAAAAGATTCTAATTAAACCACCATCTTGGGCAGAAAAGAAAAACCCTAATTCCAAAAAGCGGAAAACAGATGTTGGTATTGGAACTATTGAATCAAAACATTGAAACTTGAAAAATTAGTATGCATGGATGGGTTGGGTGGATGGAGTTTAGGGTTTTTTAGCATTTAAGGTTTAGGGTTTTTTAGGGTTCAAGGTTTAGGGTTTAGGGTTTAAGATTTTATAAGGTTTAGGGCTTAGCATTGTTTAGGGTTTTTGGTATAAGGTTTAGGGTTTAGGGTTTAAGGTTTTTTATGTTTATGCTTTTTCAGCGTTTTAGTGTTTAGGGTTTAGGGTTTAGGGTTAATATTGTGTCAAACTACGCTAGGCACCGCGCGTGGACGGGGTGTTTGTGTCCTCAACGGAACGGGATCGGTTACTAATGTGACGTTGAAGCAGTCGGCTGCTTCAGCTGAGAGTGTGATAACACTACACGGGCAGTTCGAGATTTTATCCCTCACGAGGACGTCACTACGACCGCCGACGCCACCAGGAGCGGGTGGCTTGACTATATGCGGGTGGATAGGGACAAGTGGTGGGAGGGAGCGTTGTGGGGCCTTTGACGACTTCAAGTCTGGTGGTTTTGATGGTGGCATCATTTGCAAATGCAGTTTATGATAGGTTACCACTTGAGGGAGAAGAATCACCGATTTAGCCAGCTGCTTCCCAGTCATTGGGAGTGATAGATGGTGAAGGGCAATTGGGCGATGGAGGAAACGATGGAAGTAATTCCGGTGGAGGTGTTCCTTTCTATAATTTAGGAGTGAATATGGGAAATTATCCTCCTTTCCCTGGTGATGTTTTTGGTTGGGGTAGTGGCACTGCAGCTGGTAGTACTACAAGGCCACCATTTTAATAGTAAGTTTGAAGAAGAACAGGAGAAGAAGAATAAGGAGAAATCAAATTAAACTTGTCACTGAGAAACGCTGTAGAGATCATAAAGTCCTCTAAAATTAAAGCTAAATGAAGAAATTTTAAATAGGAATACTGAAGATCATGTACGTAGGCTTGAAGCTTCTGAATCAGCGAGCTCCAAATTCATATGTACAAAATATTATTCTGACATTTTTATTTTGTTTATTTTCTGCTGATGATCTATATATATATAGCCTCTGCACCAATGTCTTCTTATTCTTCTACCAGTACCACATTTATCATACGTCTATCATTTTGTATTTTGGTTTTTGTATAATCCTCTACCAGTAGCAGTTGTTATGCAACGGAAACATAAACTCTAACGCCAGCGTATTGAATATAATAATACAATAGTAAAGCATAAATAAATTCCAAATTAAATGCCAAATAAAGAATACAGGAATTAACGAGGTTCGTATTACAACAAACCTAGGCCCGGCGCTGCAAAAGAGCTCCACTATCTCCAACCAAAAAAAAAAAAATATTTACAAATATTTGGGTAATACCACAACTACCCAAAACCGGGGAGATTACAACAAACTTGTGCAAACTAAAGGGTCCTTAAACAAGAACCCTAAACAACGAGTAATGAATTACAACTTGGGATACAATTAACATTGTTTAGGTCCCTTATATATAGGCCCAAAAGTTCCCACTTTTCATTCAGTTTCAATGTGGGACAAACAACCTTTTTATTGGCCTATTACCGATCAGTCCCTAAACCTTTCTCCATTTCATTTCTACCCCATGTTATTTTGCTAAACCATTTTTCACAACTCTCCACTTGGCGAATTAGCAAACCTCAAAGTTTTTGTATTCTTCCGTCAAATTTTGCACACCTCCAATGTCCAAAAGTCCAATCAACTCGCAGGATGTTGATCAAGTTCAAACATGTTTGCCTTGATCATTGTCACTACTGTTGTTTAAGACATCTGCAGATTCTCAGCAGTCCCAATCTCTCTAATACGATTCTTCCTTCAGAAATAATTTCCCGCCAAAGTTGGTCAGCGAACATCTAGAGGCTGGTGCGAAAGTGGACTCTGGATTCTTTGCTAAGTGAATAGGCACTTTGACTGTCAGAAAGAATAGTGATCTCTTTCTGACTAATTTTTAATTCATCAATATCCTTGTAAACCAATACTTCCTTATCAGCCTCTGTAACTGCCAGTATTCTGCCTCTGGTAGTGAACACAAGCACTGTAAACTGCCAAGAAGATTCTCCAACTTTCCTGAGCCTAGGCAATATTACATAGATTCCAGTAGTTGACCGACGCTTTTCCCAATCACCATCATAATAAGAATCAACATAAGACCAATAGCAAATTGCAAGATGTTCATCCCTCTACAAAAACCCAAACCAATGTTTCAGTTACTTATATAACCGTAAACTCCATCGTCACAGCTTGCATGTCCTTTAACAGACATGCATATACCTTCTTCACATTCCAACTGCAGTGGTGAAATGTCGGGCCTATACACACCATTGAATACATCAAGCTACCAACCGCATTTGAATACGACTTTTGACATATAACTCTCGTCTTCATGTGTACTTAGGAGATAAATGACGCACTAAGCTGTATATGAGACAAGTGAGTCACTTACAGGTTTTGTACCTTTAGTTGATGCCAAACGGGTAAACCTTCTTTTTAGATCTGCTTTTGTGTCAACAAACTTGCCATTTCTCTATCCTCTATGACTCCCTACCGAAATCTCTTGCTTCCCCTACATCTCATCTCAATTCTTGATTTAGTTGAGCCTTAACTTCTCAATTCTTCTACAGTCTTTTAAAGCAATCAACTATCATCACATATAAGTGATAAAGAAGTATCACTTGTAGCCTTTGAAAAGTCCACACAGTTTTCAACTTTGTCTTCTTTGGTCTTCCCTGACCCTCATAAACCTATCAAATCGCTTGTACCACTTGCCTCTTAGAATTGTTTCAACCATAAAGCGATCTTTTCAGTTTACAACCCACTCTTCCTTCCCAATACCCTAATCCTCGGCTGAGTCAGATAGATTTCCTCTTCCCCAAGCAACCATGTAAAGAAACTCGGTTTTCACATCAAGTTGAACAAGTTTTCAGATCATCTGACAAAACCAAGGCCACAACACAAAACAAAATGGAAGAATTTTACACTGGAGAAAATACCTCATTGAACTATTCCTTCCTTCTGAAGCTAAGCCTTTCGCCACCACCTTGCCTTGTATCGGATGTCTTTCAATTCGGAAATCCTTCTTTCTTTCATATACCCATTTGCATCCAATTGCCTTCTTATTCTTTGGTAATTGAAACACCCTCCCCAGTTTCATTCTTTGGAGAGACTGCATCTCTTCTTTCATGGCTTTTCCTTCCACTTTACCCTTTTCGGAACTGCTAGCTACTTCATTATAATTGGAAGGAACTTCACCATCTTCATTGGGAGTGCATATGCCCCCATATCAGTAAAACGGACAGGCTTTTGCGCATTCTTCTCTCTTGGCCTATTAACACAATGGTCCTTGTTTGAGGTCTTGGGAAGAAATCCTCTTCTTTCACTCCATGAATCTCCTCTATCATAGGATTCCTCATTTCCAGCTGTGCTACTGAGTAGTTTCAAAACTCCACCTGCTGTGAGTATGCTCCACCTGTTGCTGAGTACTGAAAACCTTCATCGGCTTCCTGTTTTTCTGTTCAACATAGAAGACTCTCAATGTCACTCCCTACTAAACAGATTTTCCTTCGAACTTTGGCCACCAAGACTGTTCCTTTCACACCTGAGATAATCCCTATAATACTGCTTTCTTCTTTGCTCTAGGATCTAACTTGACTCCTCACAGGATATATAGCATGGAACCAAACACATGTAAAGAGTCAGACTCAAAAACGGTTTTCCTAGGACCCTACCTCATCCGGCGTCTTGCCTTCAATTGCAGTTATGGTAGACGCTTATGCGATGACACCGCATATATAACTGCCTCAGCCCCAAAACTCTTGGCCCAACCCAGAATTGGACAACATACTCGAACTTTCGCCAGTCTATTTTCTTCATGCGTTCGCCACCCCATTCTGTTGTGGGTATTTCTTACTGTAGTGACTTACTATTCCTTCATCTTTGCCAAACTTTCAAAAATGGATTCACTACGATACTTCCCCACCATGATCTTTAACGTAGCTGCTTGATTCTTTCTGCAGTCTGAGTCTCAATCACTTTTGCCATTTAAGGAAAACACCAAGTACTTATCTTAGTTTTAATCAATACACCCAAACTCTTCTGGAAAAATCATCTACAAAAGTGTAAAATCGTGCTACTCCCAAGATGTTGTTTTGGTAGGTCCCCCACATCAGAAGAACATAATCCAAATACTCTTAGTCTTATGGCTCGGTGCCAGAATTTTTTGCACTCCTTGCCTGTTTTCCCCAAAACACAATGCGCACAAAATCACTTACAGGTTTTGGCCACCTTTTCAATAAGCCTTGTTCACCAAACTAAGGCTTTTTCACCTGCATGCCCCAAACCATATTCCATAGCTTGAGCTTTCTGATCTGCTCCTTCGGCACGACGGCAGCGTCGTTCATGGAACTGTATTTAACCATTAATAAGTAAATACAATTTTTTTCTCCTCGTGCCTTTCATTACACAAGAGCGCACTGAAGAAAACTTTGTAGAATTTCATCTCGCCCTGATTCACGTGTGAAGCCTTAGATCACCAGGCTTCCCCAAAGAGATTAGATTCTTTTTTCAACTTCGGTCCATACCAGACATCTTTCAGAAGGTCTAGTTGAAGAGCCATCCAAGATTCTT